CATGGATCACTCGGAGATGGTTGTTCATTCTGGTTCTTGCCTCTGCTTACCTCTTGCCTGCCGTCGCATGAATGCGGAAGCCGGCTTTCTTGTACAGCTACTTCTAGATGATTACCTACGGTATGTTTTTCAGACAAAGTTAGCTACTCAACTAACAGTGGTGCCAAATGCCGGAGAATCGCTGCAGATCCATGATTCTGAGCTTCTAACGTCACAAGGCTCCAGTTCCGATAACAATAATGAAAGGAATATATTCAGCATTATTTGCGTCTTTAGGTGATCACGAATGATTGGGATGTCACATGTGATGAGGTATGCTAACTTGTATCACGGAGGCAAAGAATCGAAGGCACTTAACCGGAAAAATTCGAAGTTTTTAAACATGAAGCTAGTCAGATTGCCTGTTTTCATACGCACGTGACATCAGGATCGATGCTTCAGCTACCTGTGCATTTCTGCACGTTTTAGGTCACGTGTTTACTGCCACTGAGACTGTTCTTATGCATACAGCTCTCAGCGTGTTTGCGCGACTGACGTTTCAGCTTAAAACTGTTAACCTAAGTCACCTTGCAATCTATCTGGGATCCTACTGAGGTCCACTGGTTCGTCGGTTGAGTTCTTTTTATTCGTTGCAGGCTGCTTCGAAATGATCACTCCCTTTTCTGTTCGTGACTCTTGGCTGATTGACGCGATGAATGTATTTGTATTTTTGCTCACAAATAGTGCCGTAGAATTTGCAGAGCAATCGTGTTTTTGATTTGGGTTCTGTATCTATTCGGGCTATTCCTTACTTTGAGTTCAAAGGAGCAATCCAGAAAGAATAAAGCTTGTTTGGTGACTCGAGCCTTGAGTCGTTGATAAGACTTTACCGGGAGCAGTACTGGTGCGTGTTGGTCTATGCAGTTTTTTGACATTTCCTCTGGTGCGGTGCAAACAACAGGGGGCAACAGGACGATTACAAGGTCCATCACCTCTAAAGTTTAGATGGTTCATATCTTTTGGTTGTTTGATCCTGGCAAGTCCCTTGTGATAATTTTGTTCACGGCTCTAAATTCATCGGCTCTTGCCGGCACAGTTGTTGCTCTAGGTCCAACCTGTCCCTTGCCAATCCTAGGGAACGGCCTCTCAGACAGGAAATAGCGCATGATTTGAAAGCTTTTGAGTAAAATCAGAATGAAGAATTCACAAGAGTGAAGCAAGAGTCGGAGGTTGGCGAGCTCTCAGTTACGTCAGAGGGGGAGGTGCACTTATTTGGTCTTCGGACTCTAAAGGCTGTGATATAATAGTGCGTGAATGCTTTTAAGTTTACACTAGCCGATTTGTAGCAAGCCAGTAACGGCCAGATTGGAGGCCGCCATCTTGTTGTTCGTTTAATGTAAGTGTTGGTGCCTTTGATACACTTAATGGCCCTCTGCTCATGGAGTTTTTCCTTTTGTGCTCTTGCAGACGACACACGTGCAACTCTCGTCGGAAGAGCATTGCCTCTGCGTGTTACAAGCCCATTATTCCTAATGTTTACGAGAACTGGGGGGCCGTTAGGCAGGACCAGAATCCTAAGTCATCGAATGCAGCCTCCCACCAAACAATGGGCGGGGTTGATCTACCGAGGGGAAAATTGCTTTCTTTCGATGTCCGGCTAGAAATACACAGGAAGTTCATTCGGCCATTCCACTATGTCGCTTCGAAGATCATGGACAACGGCCAAAGCTCGTTGTATCTGCTCCATTATTGTAACGGTGGGGCACAAGAAGCATTTAAGGAATGCTTGATGCTGCCTCCCAGCGGGCGATATAATAGAGCTTGTGAGGTAAGGAAGAAATTACTTAGCGCCCCCCCCCCACGGGGTAATGTGATGAACCCTGAATGGCCTCATGAAGGAATTTAACGCCAGCCGCTTCGGCTCGGAAGCCCTATCGACAATGGCCGTTAGAATGGAGAGCTGTATGATTGCCCTTGAGCGGATGGATTCTACTCCCCATTTTAACTCGCCATCGACACCGGAACGGATAATCAGTAATTTTCCATACACCCTGCAGAGTAAACGGACCGAGAGAGACGATCGATTAACACAAAACTAACGGACTTCGTGCAACCCGAGACCAGACTCAAAAGTGGCCGCTTCGGACAGCTGGCAAGACGAAGACAGCCGACCGGATAAACGAAACCACTTGGAACCCAGTTCCTTTTCAACCTAGGTCTAGTTGGGCCATAAGCCCAATGCAGCAGGAAAAAGGGTGACCTCAGACCTGCCCTGTATGCAGCGGGAGCCGCCGGGTAGCACTATACCGGAAGGCCTTGGCATTAGGCTTTCTTGCGAGGTGGACAGAAGCTCGAAGGTAGGTGTTATGCTTCACAAGTCCTAAGGGAGGCCACAGAGCGGATGACTGCCTTTTGACACACTGTTTCGTTCGTGCTGCCCCAAATCATGGTTTTGGACATTATTTTCGTTTAGGATCACTTTAGAGATTTGTGTTCAAGTGTTCGCTACTCATTAGTTTTAATAGAACCGCACAATTGTTAAGACCCGAGAGGTTTGATATCTGTTCTCTTTCATGTAACTTGTTTGGGATTTGTTAGATGAGTTGATAAGTTGCGATCACACTTACTGACTTACTAGCGGATTCACTGAGAGACAGAATAAGCGTTGGATATGCTGAAGTGTTCGTAACTCGCACCCAGACTGTCCACAGTCAGTAATGATCAGTCCTACCTAAGAAACACCTTAAGTGGACCTCGAAGTGCAAACGTTGACAGTCTCAGTGTCGTTTATACGGTGCTACACGGGAAGCGAAAAACACCGGGTTCCAGGACAAAGCCATAATCGAAGCTCAAAAGTTTCCGCCTTCTAGAAGGCCTTGTAGCGGGATTCCTCCTCTTTCATCTACTTAGCAGCGATTCTCTTTCAACTGAACTAAGTCTTCCAAGCGCGGTTGCCATTACCCAGTTTCTCTCGCACGATCCTCTCACACCCTTTCGCAAACTTGCTCTAACCATTGTCGCTCTCAGTTGCCTTCTCTTTTGCATGGGTCGTGAGAATCATCATTATGTTTATCGTGTTAATATAGTACCGGATATCATAGCAAGGGACCGATGGTCCACACACAATGGAAACGACTGACGGATGCCTACACCGGGGGAACAACATGTTTACACCACCAACCTCAAAATATGATGTCAACGCGAGGCTAATAGTTGGAACCTGATCTATGTAAGTAATTAGTGACTTTTGTGACTCGAATTCAAGCACCTCAATCTAAAGTTCTAATTGGGGGATCGACGTATACGCACTGGTTACAATGATTCCCAGTTTTAGGCAGTTAGTAGAAGCTAGAACATTTGGATTCCGTGATGAATTTGAATAAGCAATTCAGAAGGCAAACTGTGAAAGGAATTCCTTTCCTATACTTCCGTCGGTCGTGTAGAAGGTTTTAAACTGAGTAAAGAATCGTTCCATTAAGAAATGAAACCTCCAGACACAAAAAAATAAGGGAATCACTTTGTGAGAATTTGATGTTGGTGACTAGCCACCGATGTTCTGCTGTTTATAGGTTAGCTAACAGGTGATAAAATCGGGTTACATGAACTCAGCAAACAGGTAAAACTGAAAAAAGGAGAATAAACTGAAAATGTGAGCCAGCAGAAAAGGATTCACGGTTACATGTTGCTCCTCACCGATTGTCAAGACTTGTACTTCCGAAGGATACTCATTTCGGTATTTTAACCTCCTAATCACGTAGTTGACGACAACGATCAAACTTCAAGAAGACAAAACACTCCAGGTTACCACAGAAGTGCGCTTTCTAACACCAAATATGAAGATCCGGTTGGCGTTACGGCGATCATACGTCGTATTTTTCATCAGTTTTACTTTCAGTCTAGCGATTATGAACGGATACTAGCTGGCTAATTTTTTTCCCAACTGTATATTCCACCGAAGTCATTTTGTTCGTTTGTCTGACATCGACGTAAAGTCTCGTCATTCCGTCGTAGTATCCCACCAAAATGTACCTGTTTGAATTCCCCGCAAATTATTGCGCCAATCACTAACTAAACAGTTCATGATCAGTGCAATAAAAGATGAAAATGCAATCAAATCTCTGGAGCATTGAGTCCCCTTGATCCAGTTCCTCAAAACAGATCGAAGACATAAATTGCGAGATGCAAGCATTTCCTTCATTCTTCTCAATCGTTTACGTAGTACATGCGAATTCGTGTTCGAATGGAGCACAGACCAGCACAATGGAATATACAGTGTCGAACGAAATTAGGAAACGGTCCGAATCCGTATGTTTTACGTACGCAATTGAGATTAAAATGAATGCTTACATCTTGCAATTTATGTCTTCCATCTGTTTTGATGAAGTGAATCAAATCTCTACCGATTTTCGTTTTTATGGTTGAAACAACAACTTTCGTCACCGTAGGTAATTTCTGTAATAGAATACATTAGCTTGTTACAAAATTTTATTATTTTTTCGACTTAATAACAAATAAACTCTGAGTGGAAATAGTTCGCAATGACGGTCGAAGTTCCATGTCATTGATCACCAGAGTCGGTGGATAAGGCTAAGGGGGACGTCTGTGGGGCTGATAGTTTGTCCAAAAATAGTGAGTGTTATTCAGTGGAGTATACTTTATAACAGTCTGGTGGGAGTCGACCATGGAATTTAGGAAAGGAAGCCCAGTACACAAACGGTTGTTAACGAAAGACAGTGGTATTATCCATGTCTGGGCATGGGAACGTACGTAAATCACAAACAACAAACTTTGACCAAAACCAAAATCACCATTGGAGTCAATGTGAAGAACGGGCAGCACAGAGCTTTGTTCGGAACTCAACGGCGTCTAGCTTATCACAGAACTTCCGTATGAAAACTGTCCAGATTTTCAGGTTTTACTCCGCGTGAAGTGATAAGGATGACTGAAATGTAGGATAAATCCGTGGGAAAAGTTTCGATCCATTTGAGAAATCCTTGTGAAATAAATCAATGTACAAATAGTTAATTAAAGAAAAGATTGGAATTGGTCATCGTCAGCGGATTGAACACCAAATTGGGGCCGGATGTATTGCATTGTACTGTTCCATTTATATCAAGGAAAGCTCCGGGCGGCACAAGACATGCGGTCCCGACGGTGTATTGATTATTCCGTAGAGTACCACTGGGACAATACAAAGCTGCTGCTTGTGCTTCCAGAGGACTGTTGAACAAGGCCAGAAAGTTTGCTGTCCCATTCGGATGGTTCTGATGCAAAGAGAATCTTGGTGGTGTCTGGTAGGAGGAGCGGAAAGGAATCCATTGGGTGAGTAGCTGAACGAAAGCTGAGTAAAAATCTAAACCACCGAGAATGAAACGCAAAATTCATGATATTTTAACTACTGATTAATCAATTTATTAGTCGATGAACCAATAAAAGTGTATAATTAGATAGGGAACTCTTTGTCTCTCTATATTACCGTTACTGAGCAGAACCTTTTTTAAAGTTATCCGTCACCTGTTTGCAAATTATCCGAATCTTCCGGGTGTTCACGACAGAATCAAAACGGCTGCCATACTGAAATATATTAGATTTTGTGATGTTTTATTTTCTCCCATTAGGCACATAATCCTAATGATAAAATAGAAAAACAATAAAAACTGGTGTATGCACCTACCGATAACAGATGCCCTATTGAGTGAAACAAAGAGCGCAGTTCCTCGGTGGTGGCATCCGAAGGGGCACCAGTAATCATGACTAGACAAGCATTTACACTTGAACTTGATGAAGGACAATTGTGAGCCATGGCATTATTCACAAATGCTGTCAAATCGCTCAAACTGCAAAGTGGAGCTGTTGGAATTGGTAACAATGAGTTGCCTGTACTGCTGAGCATTTGTGTGGATGGATTGTTCAGGGAGGCGATGGAAACTGGCAGACCTGTGGCAGTAGTCATTGCTCCTGAAGCACCCATTTGACAACCCGGCGACTTGATAATGGGCATCGGTGTCTGAAAAGCCAGAGCTAGAGACGAGGTTGAGTTAAAGAACGAACAAGTGAGTTGCACTGGCGTGCTCGTTAATTTGAATGCACAACTGAAATTTCTATCTACCAGTTTTACATTCGTGATCATTTACATTTCACACTCAGTGTAAGACAGTTTCAAGTATTCAATGTCAGCTTATCGACAGATCTCAATGATGCATATTTTGACATTTATAGCTGACGTAGTTATTTTAATTCTTCTTCATTTCACTCCAGATCATGCCAATCTGTTCCGCTTGTTTAGTCCGTTAATTAGAAGTGAGTCTTTTTACCACAGCGGATATATTTCTAGGAGGTTGGAATTCATTTATACTGTTTACTGGCAATGCACGTCGAAATGACTCGTCACGAATTCTCTTCAAGCAATTTCTAATCATGCCTGGTTGGTTCTAGAATTAAGTGTAACATGTGAATTGATCATAGGTAAGCTCATTAAGCTTTCCCTGTTTGATTCTATCTGTTGGTCATAACTGGATGTGGAGTTATCCTAATTGTGTTCATCTATCATTGTGCACTGAGATACAGCCAATCCTATTTTACGAGTGCCATCTGACTACTGGTGCTCTCATCTCTTACTTATTGAGGACGCCGTGGGAGAGGTGATCCTGCGCTTTTCTGTGCAATTCGTCCAACGATTATCGTCTCTTCTAGTAGTGTTATTGATTTTCCACAGCTTATTCAATCAGGGTGTCAATCACAGTTGAGCAAAAACTATATGAAAGAACTCTTCCGAAAATCATCTAACAGGTTTACCCGTGGCTGTACAATAGGCCCTTTGCAACAACACAAAACGATAATGACAAAAAGCAGTCTCTCGATGACTACATCTTTCCACCCTCTCCAAGTTCCCAAAGAATGCCCCTTGTATTATGAATATTTGAACTTTTCACAAAAATCTTAATTTTGCAGTAGGAGTGTGAGTGGATGATTCTTTTAGATGAGTCCACTGAAAAACCGCAAAGGGGATTCTGTGATAGCTCCACATGGGTTAGTCACAGTTAACCTGATGAACGACAGCACTGGGGTCACGGTCGTGAAGAATCACTCGCAGAATGTACAGGTATCAGAAAGTATCAATAGACAGGGGAGTAGCAGATACGCATAACTGACAAACGGCAACAACAGCGAAATCTGCAGAGATTCTGAGGGATTTTTTCTACCCTTTTGTAGATACCATTTACATCAAAAGTATGAACCTCTCACCAATGTCCAGTCGGTATCATAAAGAGAATACTTTTCTCATCAACTCTGTTCTGGAAAGTTGCCGTTTAAATCAAGGTTGCACATTACCACTCGTTTTCGGCGAATTCATTTCCAATTGTGTACCGTCATAGTTATTGATAAAACGAGCAGAGTCGTAAATTTGTGAGCTACCCCCTCTGATAGAATGGACTACAAGTCTGCGTCGATCACCACCTAATCGAATTAAAATACTTGGTTCTCCACGCATGTTGTACATCACCTAATTCTGTTCAAACAGACTACCGCATCTTCTTTTCAGTCAAATATAACCGTCCGAGTATGTCACGAATTTTCCACTCGAACCGGAAAATGCATCCGTACAAGCTGATACGTGGTATTCAATTACGCCCCTCAGGTGAACACGAACTTTCCGTCATTGTTCAGTACCAAAATACATTCCGTCTTCAAGCAAATGTCATATCTAACACTTGTTCTCCATTGTCACACTCAAGTTCACACTTGTGTGATTTGCACACAAAAAATGTGGCAAGTACGCTGTAAAGTCACTCGTGTCGGCAGTTGGCTTCAAACTGTACCTGAGGGACAGGAATTCGGGTAATAGGAAAACTGAAGGCGGGGCAGTCACACACTTTAACTCCTCCTGATTTGGTAATTTTGATGTCATTTACGAACATTCAACTTTGTTCCCTCTATAAATGATCCCGAAGTGTTCCTTCTGTTTGCTCATAGATCACACAGGTTCATTATCTACGCCACCACTTATCTGATCCATCATGTACCCACGTCCTCGGAAGGGTTGGAAAAGTCTGTACAATATGCTTTTCTAGACCACTAATCCATTTTTAATTCTTTTCCGCAGTCTCTTCACCTTCAAAATCTGAAAGCTTTTGGTTGTACCACGCCCCTATTGTCAGAACTGTCGGATTATTTTACCAATACAACTCAGTGTGCGAGTGAGTGTTAGGAGATAAGATTTTGCAAAATACGACTCATCATGTAGTACCAACGCTCAAACCACGACTGAGTAGCATACAAGCACAGTATGGCTGTTTCATCCTTGTTAGACGTCATTAGTAGTGCACGTTCACTGAACCTCTCTACTACCCCTCCCCTTGGAGTGAACGATTGTGGTTCAAGCACCTAACCATCCAGTTTCCCTGGAGGCTGGCTGTCGAGTTTGTTGAGCAAATGAACTACATGATATACCGCCCTTCAGTTACCGCCATTGAACAGAAACAGCCAGCTGCCCTCACAGCGATCCAGTCCTGTGATGAATGACTTCTCTTCAGGAGTCTAATTACAACGAAGGCATTCCTGGATAAACAACCTACAGAGCTTGGCTACTAAGTGTGTATGAGTAGCAGGAGGTCAGATTTTGCATGATATGTTTCATCGTCATACTAACGCTCAACCCGGTGTATATGACTGCGTTTTAAAATATTCAAACCACTGCTGAGTAATTCAAGAGTGCTTCGGGGATTTATTCTTCCGTCACATTTGTTTTTCATCTACATTAACGATCAGCCAACCAGTTTTTCTGCACATTTATTTACATACTCTGTTGATGTGGCTGACTGACAATCTTTCTCTAAAACCTAGGATTTCAATAATTATTCCAGTAATCTCTCTGACACATATTTTCTCTGTTAGATGTGGTTTCATCCCGAATTCCTTCAAATGCTTGAAGTGAATAATAACGGTTTATTGACCGATTAATACTTGTCACCCATCCATCATTACCACAGAACCACTAGATAGAGCGGGATCTGTCACACATCTACGAATACCCATCAGTGCTAATTTGAGGGGCCATCTCACATTAGAAACAGTACAAAAAACGTCGCGTGCTATCTAACGAAATACGAAATATTTGATATTCCAACGTCAAATAAAGTACTATCTCCCTTATCTTTTATCGGTTGTTTCCCTGTAATTTTCGCCGGTCCTTCGCCAAGGGATGTTGATCATTAGATGAGCATCATTCATACCACTGAATGAACTGTCTGGTAAGGTATGCTAACTACACTTTGACTTGTGTGAAAAGATTGCTCATAAAATCCTTTCAGACTCCACTCGCCCTTCATACAGTGATGTATATAAGGGCAACTCTCACCTCAACACGTTTCTATTTTCTATCCTTACGCCCCTCGCATTAATGTCTAATGCAACTTGAGTGTTCGTTAACCGGGCGTAAATCTCTGCCAAATGTCTCAGTAATTTTTTGGCGTGTGACAACATTTAATTTTTCCTCTTCAATGAGCTTCTAAGTGTAAATGGTTTTTGATTGAAACGTGGAAGTATGTCTTTAAAATCGGACCAAATACAACACAGTTCGCGTGCGAGCGTTGCACTTGTCCCCGTCAAAGACCGATAACAACAAATGCGAAAGTAGTGAAGGCATAAATCCGCTAATATGTAGGTACCCCAAACACCTGCGTTGCGAAAGTCAGTTAACTGGTGCTCACCCCTTATCTACTTTTCGATCGTAGGTGAAAACAAGTGTGCCACACAAGAATTTTGATTTTCTTCACACGAATGCATAGTTGTACAGCCATGAGAATTATTTCATTGGAAACATGTTTTACACATTTGCTGTTTTAAATTAAATGATGGATAATTTTTATCAGCTAAGATTCCCGGTTATTCCATTTATTTTCTTTGAAGCAAATCTCACATGTTACTCCGACAGGTCTAAAAGCTCACTACCTGTTCGCATAGAAAAAATCATTTTCTAGTGTGGATTAGTTGCAGCACACGGTTTCCGGTGTCAAATCGCAAGGTAATGTATCTAGGAATGTACTGGACAAAATAACCATCAGAGGAACTTGCCTTGAAGTAATTGGTTATAAATGGGGTCCGTAGGCACGGAGTTTGTGCTGTTCGCAACCAGCGGGTTGGAGGCAAGGTTGGCCATTGCAGCCTGTAGATTCCCGTCGTGTCTTGTAAGAAACGATGCAGTCGGCATTGATGAATGGGTTGTTGGTAATGGTTGTTGTTGTTGCTGTTGTTGTCGTTGCTGTTGCTGATTTTGTGTCTTCCTCAGTACCGGTTGTAACGACTGCGGCTTGCATGGCTGTTCCAGAGTGCCAGGAATAATGTGAATTCTATTGAACGGAATGCCAAAGCTGGGGTCTTCCAGTGGAATCAGTTCTAACTGCTTTTCTGGACCGACGTGATACAAGGTGAAAGTTGGCACATTCGGAAACACCTTTACCTGACTGGACAGACCGGTCATTGTGCCCAAACTGAAAGTCCTATTGACCAGGTCACGGACCAAATGAACGGCCGTCGTGGTGTCGATCAACGATAGAAGCCAGGTGGATGTGGTTTGATTTTCCGCCATCTCCTGTCATTTTTCGAATGAAACAGAAAAAAATAAGTAAAGCATATCTGTAAGTTTGAGTCGAAGGACTGAGAATGATGTTTGTTAATAAAATTATGAAGCTTCAAGAATTGGGAAAATCCAAAAGCTTTAAAGTCGCTCTTAGTTCACTTAGTATGAAGCACCTAGTTTCCCGTTTTAGTTCACTTCGAGCCCTGAAAACAAGACAAAGCCTAAGCATTCCTATAGCGGGATATCACAATGGCTGGTTCTCACTTTTCGATGCAAGTTGGCTTCCGAAGAGATAAAACTGTGAATCTCATGCGCACCTAGTGCTTCTACGCTTTTATTCGTAGCAGCAACCAATGTGGTCTGGTGAAGATAAACCAACTTATTCCTTACCATAAACCTATCTCATCAGTTAGGCACTGAGCCTAAAATTTGATGGAATTAGGCGGATCAAAAATTCATTTGTTCCTTTATATAAAAGAGTTAGCTTGTTTGAGAAATGGCTAGGCATCTTCTTCAAAATGCAGACAACAGATGATTGAAAAAGTGCAAAAAGCAGCAAACAGAATCTATCATAACTGTGTGTGTGGGAGAGAGAGACAGGGTATGTGTCTTTTCATTATTATTTTAATCCAACATGGAATCACTTACCGATTGTCGGAAAAGTTAATGACTAACGGCAGTTATTTTACGATTTTCACGTTTCAAACTTTCCAAACTTACTCACCTTTCGTAACATCCTATAGACTTTGGAGTAGTTAGCCGGTCCAAGATACAATCTCACGTCATGTCTTGAGGTCTCCAGGGGTAATGAGCTCAGTTCTAGTACTGCGGTAACGCCTTGCTCTGGCCAAGGTCGAGCAAAAGTACAATCTGGATCAGTGGGATCAGTTGGATCCTTAATAACCGGTTCCTTGGCTGGCTTTACTCTCAACCCGGACAGGGTGGGTGAAACGGGAGACAGAGTGGTCAGAGCGGGCACATGCCGAGGGAGACTAAATGTGAATGGAGTCAATCCCGTTTGGTTCACACCCAGACTATTGATCATTGTCAGTTGGTCCAGGGTGGTCTCTGGAAGGTGTGTATCAGTTATTGCTGAGTGGATGTCGCCTGCAGAAAATACGCTGGAGGGCAGGACTCTAGCTCCAATAGGAACGTTTTGCAAGGGGGTGATAGATAATCCAGGCCGAAGGTTCTTTAGTGCCAAAGCAATTTGTTGTTCGCGCGTCAGATACGGTGCAATTGTGGAGAGCATCGTGTTCAAAGTGAGTGGATTTACATTAGTCCGAGATCTAGCCTGTGCGTCCAAAAGATTGTTCTGTACTTTGTTTGAGTTATGCGTCTGTTGCGAGACATTATGGCAGACCTAGATCAAAACGTGCGCAACGGGAGGCCGTAATAGTGCAAACTAAGCGACTGCAATGGAAGATTGTTACATAAGTGAACTATACGGTAGGCGGGGTTGACATTTTGAATATGAAAAATGCTAGTGGACCTTCTTTCATATAAGATTCAGGCTCCTCTTGCAAAAAAATACATTCTGTGTGCTAATACGGGAACTGACTCTTTTTTAGTCACGTAATTCAAGTGAGATAGAGAAAATGAAAAAAAAGTTCGACAAAAACTAATAAACAACATTTATTGTCTGGAAAACTACAGCCTTTATATTTGGTATATACAGGGTTAGTTCTGCTGTGGCCATTCAACAGTAAAACTTTGAATCAATAATAATACAGACCAGTTATCGAGTCCGTTAGTGCTTTCAGCCATTTTACCACCAACATTTTGACAAATTCAGACTTCAAGAAATGGTAAAGTACTCAACCCTTTAAATAAAAAATTCCTGAGCGAATAAGAAACATTGCAAAAATAATGGGATTTAAATGACGGTTGCAGGATTCTCTCTAAACTATGTCGCCTGTCCGCTGTTGAAGTTCCCCATGAAAAGGCTTAAGGATCGGTTTGTTCATATTTCGCCGATAAATCTCTCCCATCAGTATAATTGAATATTTCGTGTCGTTTCTGCAATATCTGATTCTCAAGATCAACGTAAGGAAAGACTCAAACGCGTATTCAAATGGCGATTATTACGAGATCCAAGTTTTTACGGCCTATTTGAAATGGTACCTTCCGTTTTTGGACAAAAGGCCACGATCTCACGTAGTAGTTGTTCTGACTATGATGTGGTTTTAGCTTCGAGATCAGATGAGGATTTTTGTTTTGTTTCCAGATAATCACATGTTCCCGTTGTTTTGATAAAAACGCATAAGTAACGAGTTTGATCCGACATCATCGATACATTAATCATTTTAAATTGGATATCGATGATGGGTTGGGGCAAGCGCGGGACCAGTGCAACTGAAAGCAGATCACAAGACAATCACGCAAATGGATAGAACTCCAAATGTTGATGAACAATGCACATTACATCCGCACAGTTGTAAACCAAACCAGTATCGTCAAAGTGATACACTATTTTTCATCGAATTTCCATATAGATGGGGACCTAATTGACCTGAGCAAGAAATACGCGTGTGTATTGATTAAAAAAAACATAAATAAGGGTAATCAGACGGTCCAATGCGGTATTTGTTTTTTGGACTCAGTACTAGAACTGCAGAAGCCATATTGTGGCTCTGACTAAATTTTCTACATTCGTCTCGATAGCACACTTTTCTCTGCCTGTTATTTGAATACTAAATTTTATTTAAGAATGTTTGGGCCGGATAAAGACATCGTGCTACGAATAAGTAGGCGAAGATTAACTGCTGATAATTTCCAATTCACACTGGATCGGTTTATGCTACTCATCCCATTTTCACATGTAGTGGTCCTTAGAAAGACTCGCGCTTTGTTATTCCAAGTAGATGAATTAGATGGGAAAACTTACAATCAAGAAGCGTATTCGCACATCATTTTCACATCATGAAAAATTGGCATTTAACGTCAGGAATTTCTGCTCATCATTCTTCACCTTCCAATTCTAAGCGGATGCTAGTAAACATAAAGATTCTGAGTAGGGAATTAAAGCCTGTTAGGAATAATAAACTAAAGATAGGTATTGATAGAGGCTTGATTCCCAGACTTAAGAGTTTCACTCGCTTAGCTGCTTTCAAAGTCCGCAAAATTTGCCAAACTGAGTAACAGGCTATCCTGAGTAATATTGGTAAAATTACTGAAATAGGCAAATGCTGTGCCTCAGAAAATGCACACAAGACTGCACTACAGCGGTAACACGTCACTCCTCAAACATAAATTCAGCTTTCCGTTTTGCTCTTCGCGTGTCGGGAGATTTTATGGACAATGCCAGCTGTCAAGCTAGTGTCAAAATGGTGCTAACGTGGAAAGCTGACAGTACGTTGTTGTACTGGATCATAGTCCGCAGCCTTTTGTGGGCAGCTTGTTTCGATAATTCTGTGCATGTAAGCAACATCAGGCTGACGCGTTGATGCTTCTTTTTCCTTGCTGTTTATGCCACAACTAACTATAGCTGTCCTGAGGCCAACGACTATTTCGACCATGATTTGTGGTAACTGCTCCGCTGCGTGCGCTCTAAGCAGATGATAATTATTATAGATGATTTCAGTTTTCAAGCTGGATTTTTGAACTGGACGAAGTGGCACGTAGGAGGTCCATTTGCTATTCCAGCCGATAGAATCGACAATGCTGATCGACTCATCCAAATAAGTAACAACCGAAAACTATTCCTAGGGAGTACAAACGTCTCGTAATTAGCAGCAACTCATCTGTTCCAATCCTGCAATTTCACTGCTTCGAACTCAAACCAACCATAGTGCTGTCGGTTACAGTTGATGCTGATCGAATCAATACTGTCTCTCAGTCTGGTCCATGTCTCTCGACTCCGAGAACGACTTTGCTTGCGTCTCGGTGGACGAACCAACACCAAAGTCAACCATCCTCCTCAGCTACTGCTACATGAAAACCATCAATCTGCATTCAAAACAGAATTGTCACCCACTGTCAGAGATAGTCAGATCCCCAGGATCCGAATGAACAATGGACCCAAAGAAGGAATTGCTATTTTAAGCTGCTAATTTTGCCCAAGCCCGAAGAAGCGGACGTACACAGGGACGACAGAGTTAGGTGTCCTCAACTGCACTGCTGAATGCGCGTAGATCAATACCTCCGGATTACAGATATGATGATACACAGAGAAGCCTTCTGGCCAGAAATGAAGAAAACAATGGTAGGCAGAGACGGATTACAAAGTGTAAGGAGATGGAAAGTCTGCAGCGATCGGCAACGGCCACTGCCTTTTTCGTTTGATTAGAAGTGTTGGTTTACTAAAATCTGAGAGAGATGAATGACTCTGATTCGAACTCAAGTGCTTTGCCTGGATCGCTGCCAGGAGCTACTCCAAGGACAGTTGAACGGTCTTCATCTAAAACAAAAGTACTGGGTAACACAGTAGATGGAACTCCGGATTTAGATAGTAGTCTTTCATCAGAAGCCGAGTTTATGTCTATCGCCCTCTAGAGCTGCCTCTTGTTGAACAACGTCCAGAGAAATACATATAAATCATAAAATTAATTGCAGATACTTATTTTGGACTTTCGGTACTCTGTCACCTGAGTTTAGCACAAGAAGTGGCGTTCGTATATATATATATATATATATATATATATATATATATATATATATATATTACTATCAATATGAGTGCTTGCACATGCAACCTCGTTGTTCGTTGGGTTAGCAGTGACCCAGACACGAATAACTATGAGAAATCACAGTTGTGATTCATTTGTGGGCTTTTCAATGAAGAGTATCCATTCACACTCCAGACGATTCAAATTAGATTCTAGTGAACATATAACATCGGAGTGTACAAGTATGAAGACGAGTGGGCAGAGGAGTGCCGGGTACGCATACCTGATGAGTGGCAACAGCCGCGAAACCGGTCGTGTGCTTCCGGGGGAATTCTGTCCACGCGTTTACATACTACCTACTGTCATGTACATATGAATCACACCGGCTGGGAATGAAACAGCTTGCCAGAGCAACAACAGCAAACACGAAAGCGATGGGAAGGGAGCAGTATAACAAAGAATAAGAGGCCGTTAGTAAAAGGTATATCGTTTTTTTTGTTTTCAAAAAGGTACTTACTTCGACTTTTTTTGTAATTTCGTTTGTCTGAGTAATACTTTGTGATTATGGGGCACGACAGTTTAACAGACGAACGGTGCAGCATTCGCGCCACTGACTTTTACACTCAACATATCTAGCCAACCACAGTCCTCATCCCTTGAGCCCCAGTCAGAGAAGCGAGAAGCACAAACCGAAATCAATGCTTATGTTGGCTTGTTCGTACCTTTAGGCCAAGTCATAGTCTGACTGCAGCTTCGCTTCTCCCAGCCTTGCCTGGCGCAAGCAAATAGGGCACAGAAAGCTATAAGATGGGCAAACCTTCGGTAAACATGTCTGAATCATCGGATCACTTCGGTAGGAGAGTGGCTATCCATGCCAGACACAAGAAGGCACACCTCATCATTGTTCACTTGATGTTCCTGACAGATGCGAGCAATGATTCGAACAGAGAAAGGCTCTTGCCATTATCTGTGCAAATTGGGTCTTGTAACGGCGAAATAAAGCAGTAAGAACCACGACAACGTACATTTGTCCCTTAAATGAGTACGGGATTTCAAGGCGACGCCACAGATGTCGCAGTTTTGCGAAAGCCGCTGCAGCTCTCTATTCGTAAACTGATCTCTCCCCCAACCCCAACTCCAGTTTTTATCGACCTCCCTAGGTACTTAAAGTTCCCAACTCACTGCAGGAGATCACCAGAAAGGGTGATTGCAAGCACATGTTTCTGCCAATATTCCAAAAATACTTTGCACTTGAAAGACACAAGGTGCATAGCATATCTGGATACCTTAATCGCTAAGCGATTCACAGCGTGTTGCATTGCCTGCCCACCATCACTCAGCGGGGCCACATCATCGGCATATTCCAAGCGGGAAATTCTGTTTTATGGTCCGAGTTCAACTCCACGGTTTGGAAAACCAGACAAGACATTCCTCAGAACATTCTATATGGAAAAGGTGAAGAAAAATGGGGATATAGAGAAATCTTGACTAAGTCCACTGAAGACGACAGAAGGGGGTGAAAGCTGGCCGTAGGCTGTTACTGGACCTGAGGTGCGACGATACGATTCCGTAATGATTGACAAACATTTATCAGGTGCTCCATTTCTCATCAATCTATTCAGTAGTGCAGTACTGCCGACAGATTCGAAAGCCCTGCGAATGTCCAGGAACTCGATGATCGATGGTCTTTGAAGTGCGTGACGGTGCTCTAGTAGCTGTCGGAGGATGAATGATTGATGGATACATCTGCGACCAGCAAGGAACCCAACCTGCTCCTTAAGAGTCTGTCCCTCGTGCGTGCGAAGCCAGACAGACGCAAGGAGCTTTGACAACATTTGGGTAAGTCTTACACCTATTTGGTTAGCAAAGTTACTACGAGAAACCATCTTAGATATAGGGACAATAGTCGATTTTCTTCGTGAGGAAGGAACCTGCTCAAAAATACAGACTTTTTAGAACAAAACATGGCATCCTCTAACGAATCTCATTCTACCGTATTCAAGAAAGAGCTGGAGAAAGGCCATGGGAGCCCTGCTCTTTGTGGCACCCTAAGGCCTGGGTTTTCCTGTGGATCTCCACTTCGGCAGGTGGGTCTGTCGAAACGGGCCACTGCGTGTGTGGCGTAAGAACTATAGGAGAGGCTGATAATGAGGACCAGCTAAACTGTGTCTGATAATTCTCCGCTGGCCTTCGAGAATCCGCTGTTGATTGTGAGCTGTCGAACCGTCTGCCTCACAGATTTTTTCACTCACACCTGAAGGTTTCTTATCGGTAACTAGAATGAGATAAAATAGCTTGAAGGAACTTACCATGGCTACAGCGCGTTACATCTCTGATACACGCTGCGACCACCAGATTTTGTGGTCCCTACGACGGCATGCGTTAAGTGCACGTCTCGTTGCGAGTCATGTCTTGTTATGATAGCTTCCAGCTGAGATTAACTAGCGTGCTTTGAGATTTCGCAGAGATTCAGCAAAAATCAAGGTCTCCTATCACGACGGGACAGGCCGCGACTTACTAGATAGCGGAATACAAAGCATTCTTGATAAGCTACAAGTGCTGGTTTATATTATCAGATGGGGCTATTTCTAGCTTGGCAACCAGCACGATTCAGAAGATCGATGGGCGAGGTGGATCGCAAAGCTTATCGCAATCTAACCGTCATTGCAGCATGCGTCTGGAGCTCCCGTTGAGGAAGGGGATAGCTTAGTGCAAACTAGTGCGTGAGTGGAATCAAAGGGGGTGCTCTAGTACGAGCGAGTCGTGTATGCAACACCGCCATTTATGGCTCATAGCGATATGGTCTTTCTAGATCCGCCGTTGACCCGAGGTGGGCGAATGCCACGTGGCGTACCGGCGATAAGAGCAAGGACCAGGTGATAGTTGGAACACAGGGCCAACAACCTTTCCCCTTTTTTTGAGTGACAGAAACCTGGTCCAAAGCCACCCCTAATTGCGCCTCTTCCGGTGACAACCGACTGATTCTAGAATTCATATCTCCTAAAAATCACGAAATCAACCCGGCTAGCTTTACGCCGGAGCTCGTGTTGCTTTTGGTAAAAGTTATCTTTTTATTGCCCTTGGGTTGCAATCGGTGAATGTGCACAAAAATGACAAACAGATTGCATCTATGTGAAGGGCAAATCTAACTTGTTCACTCAGTCGATATTCAGAATGCCAACTTCACGCACGACTACACATAAAAATGTCCTATACTTTATCTAGTCCACCCGTTAGCAGACCGTGGCCAAGAAATCAATGGTCACTTTGTTCATCTCAGTCGTTAACTGAAATGTATTTATTGCCTCGTTTTACTTTTACGAATTCGTTTTCACATTCCAATTTTTTGGGTTCCACAGTAAATCTCTTACGTGATTAAATCTCACCCTATATCGGGTGCATAAAAGTGTTGATTGATTGGACCTGACCTGACTGGAAACTTTATTCATCGACCTAATACCGCTGCTAACAGTCCTTCTCTAAATCTGTTCATCGTGTATTGATTTCCGCTTGAGGTGCCCGCTGAGTGATTGCCACCAAATCTAATGCACCCAAAGCAATGTTACTGTTTGCTCGAAATGAATGAAGATGGTGATTGGATGAGTTCCCTGATGGTATTCTTCAACATAATTGAAATGGTGCTAGCAGTTTGTGATGAATGTCTTCATCGATAATCACAATATTTTGCGCCGTTTCGTTGCATCACCTGTTAGAAGCACACTACAATTGCACTGGTACAATCTCGATTCCATGAGATTTCAACTGGTTTTATAACCGCTTCAGTGTGCCCATCTTGGGCCAAAGATTTTCTGCGCTCAGTTCGACTATTTCTACTCTTGAGCGTATTTCCAATTACTGCTGTATTAGTAAGATATATCACATTGTACGCAAGTTTTAAAAAGATCACTGACTTTTATACCGGAAAAAATATTCGTGATCACACTGAGTTCTAGGCACTACGACGACAGTGTCTCTGATCTTCCACAGGCCTTTTTCTAACACTTAGAAATGAGCTGCCGACGGATGCCTCAGTGTATCTGTATTCGTCACTTGGCAATAACAGTTTTTCTACGTCCCAGTGTAATTAGGGGAAATATTGAAACATCATTTTTATACTTCTCATATGTAATTACACTGTTTCGCGTTTATTGCTTTCCACGGAATTATTTACTTATAACCGTTCATCTCTCTTTATTCCCCAAATAATGGAAGGGGCTGGCTGTTTTCTTATTAGACGGATTTTTATAAAAATGTTTCAGTTGCAGTTGATTCTCCTTAGCCAGGGAACTTTATTCAAGAACAGGGAGACAACCGAGAAAGGGAAAAAGCAGCCCAAGTTGTAGTCATACGTGTTGCGTCATCCTTGAATAACATACCTGACACGAATGAGCATCGCACTCATGCAGTCTAACAGATACACGCGGCTAAACATGCGCATGGAATACACAATGTTGTACCTAACCAGTGTTCTCTGGTAAGTTTCTCTAATGAACTACTTAGGGTTTTGAATAAATTTACTTTACCACAAGCGAATGAAGCGACAAGAAGCACCACTGGGCATCTATGAACAAAATCCCTGTGGTCCGTTTGTAGTCACCAACAGTGTAGTATAGTGCTTGAGTGGTCCCTTCTTACACGGCTTTCTGCGACTCCCGAACAAATATTGCTCGCTGAGAGATCCATAAAACAGATAACTCATATAGTTTGATAGATGTTTGTGTGGAAGCAGGCTTTGTCTTTTTCGTTTACCACATTCAGTTGTAACATAGGTGAAAGACTACTTTGCAAAGGAATTTCAGCAATACTAAATAAATAAATTTTGTACCTGAACCATTTCGGAGGGGGAAGCTTTAAACAGTTCCACGTAGCGATCACCCAGGTAGTCTTTGTGACGGACCAAGGCTTTCGTTGCAGTTTTGTCGTCCGGGAAAAGAACGAATGCGTCACCGGTCGGTCTTCTGTCAGGATAGGCAACCAGATAGATACCTTGGCAATCGAACAGCACAGTAGCTTGAACGGCGAGGAAGAAATCAAGCTAAAGTTTAGAAGGTAAGAAAAGTTCGAATGAATCGCCGTGTAGGAACAGAATGGCAAGTTTGATCCTCCGGTTTGGTCTTCTTTCTTCCAGGTTGTAGGACTTTACAATTTGAGCCTCACAATATACACAAACCAATGCCACCAGATTGACAAGCACGTGAATTACGACAACAATAACGAAGACACTGATAATAGCAACAATGATTTTTTTCTCCGTATCACCCGGACTACTAGACACATGTAAAATCGAAAAATCCTCAATAGGGATACAATTAGAAGTACTCCAGAAGTTGGTGGACACCACTCTATCATAAAAGAACCGTCTTGCAACTGCACCGATTAGGAAAAGCATAATACCTCAGGGGTTATTTCAGTTCTGTAGAATACTTTGGATTTCAATCAAGGTTGCAAACAGCACAGAACACAATAAGATTTATCGGGTACTGTTGAGCCGTGGAACTTAGAATTATGGAATAATTGTGCAAAAGTCTCGGTGAACGATTAATTTGTGCCGTTTACTCATCCTTTGTAAAGACAGACAGTGTGGCCAATCGTGATAAATGATGAGCTCATGGGATGCGCTATCCTTGCTAAGTATGATCATATTACAGGGAAGTTGAATTCAGAAAGTAATATAAGATGGTGATATGCATAGTCCTAGAACAAAGCTGTCACATCTAGTTTACTGCTCCACCCAAAAGCCATTCAAATGACTTTGATCTGTTATTCTGAAGCTCAAAAACCTAATTCACTGGATTGTTTGGGTTTCAGATTATGAGCTACTTTCACATCAGAGCACAGTAGTTTTGAAAAACTGATCAAATATTTCTCTCACATTGTCCATCCGCTATGTGAATGTATGCCAAATTAAGCTCTTTTGAAAAGAGAAAACACAGAAAACGGTGTAGTTGGCTGTAGTAACTTGATCAAAACCTCTTCTCGCTGTGTTCGAGGAACTCAAGAACTAAATGATTGGAAATTTTTCCCATTTCATATGAGTGGATACCTAGTGGGCATTTCAGTTACATGACTGAGTATATCCTGGCCATCTCCATCTCTATTGGAAGAGTGTGATGTATGTATTTATACCAAGTAAGTTGTTTTTGTAATGATCTGGCAGTAACATTTTACATTGATGAACAGTTCCCCACTCGAAAATCTGTTTTTTTTTGTTTCACCTGCATAATTTTTAATCTCGGATTTAGAAATATCATCTCAACAGACCAAAAGTTTATCAGTACTTGAATAGCACGGTAAGCTTGATGCCCAATGACGAATTCATATGCTCTGTGAAGGTAGCATCATATTAGCACGGAGTTTCAGCGGCACACAACTTGAGACGAACAACTGCACACGTCCAGCACCGCACAAGTTATTCCAAAATCCAATTGGTTCACCAAATACTTCTGAAAACTATTTAGTTCTCATCAACCACTTATCCGAGTTGGAAGTTTAGTGATTACATACCTATAAAAAAACATAATAGTTCAGTTACGCGTGTTTGCTGATCACTTTGTTGTAAGCAGTACATCACACCGGGGGAATTAAAAAGCGACTGTATCTGTCGTGTGCGTTTGAAGCTAAATGAGCACAAATAAAGTTTCCTGTACTAGGAAATCACCTTGATCGGAGTGTGTACAGCACCAGCGTAGTGTGTGTACATATTTAAGAGTGACGAACGAACACCCAACCACCAGTACAAGCACCGCAAAGTGTGAAACATGCGGGGGCCGCATAGTTACAGGCAAAAACGTCTGAAATACAGCAAGGACTAACGAGACACAACATGCCAGAGTCACCCTGAGAAAAGCGTATAAGAGGAAAATCAAAACAGAACGACCTGTGCATGTTTTAGTCCCCGGTAAGGGCAGTGCGCATGCTTTGCATGAATTTCACGGACGACTTAGTTCACGCTTAATGAGACGCCTATTGGGAATGAGTTATTATTGGCTCATTTAGAATTTCCCAGTTCTGAAGAGATTTGAAGACACCTCATTGTATTATATCACCGGGCCTCCTTTCCAAAAACGATTGCTAGCAATGAACTGATAAATTGTCGAGATATTTCCATACCACTAGCAGTAAATGACTAGATGAAAATTAGGAGAGTTATAGAACCTACGCAAACTTGAGAAATTTTCGGGTAAAAACTCTTCGAACTGCGATTACAATCTGTGATTACCTGGACTAATCACTGATTCGTTCTGGCTGTAGATCCGCAGCTCAGGACCACTTTACAGCGTTAAGTCAGATTGCATACGCACGAATGACATGATGGTAAGTTTGCCGGAATATGTACGATTTTCCTGTTGGTTTATCACTGTGACGAAATCCGTCGCACGTTTGATATAGAAATGGTTAAACCATCTCAGTCCGGTTGTTGTACACCAAGTAAATTTTCCGGTTAGCAAATCCTTTTAATTATCAGTCAGTGGTAATTATTGAATAACCTGACACCTTAAACCCCTTCTAATCCTATTATTTATCTTGCGTGAATAATTTAGTAAACACTGGTCACTGGAAATCAAATAGTGGAAAGGTAACTAGAAGTTGCTAGCTGCAACATCCCCAGCGAAACTTAGTTTCTCGACTCAGTGAACCTCTGAAGATTCATCATGTTCTAATTCATCTATGGGTTCAGTTTCCGGAAGACTTTTGTTGGAATAAATAAGTTTAGGAATTTATTCACGGCAGCTGCGAAATACATGCATGAATAAGCAGACCAATTGCCTGGCCTTCTGAAACAAGTTGGACTGATCGTTTATTAGCACGCAATAACGTTGTTTACAATGTTACTAATCCAAGCGCAATTGTGCTGACACATTTTCATGCGCCATGGATATTTCGGTGAGCCTAACAAACTTGTTTTTCCTACAGTTTACTGTGGGCCTCTTACACAGTTTCACTTCCCATAAACGGTTTGGTCTGTCGAAAATCTGAGGTATCTTCTTGAATGAGGTTATGTTTTTCAGAAGGGAAATAAACAATCTTCTTGCGATGAAATTAAACCCAAGAAACCCGCAGAAGGATGGGTAGTCCAAACATCGTAAAAGAGAACACCTTTTTCCAATGGTTGAATGATTAACCACTCATACGGGGCTACGTTTCCCCAGATTAACTGTGACACAAGTATTTGCTAGTCAGTATAATTTGATTGACTTAATGGATGTTGGTGAAAGAGCAACTCGTTTTATTCAAACGACAGTTGCAAAGATAGATTGATTCCTTCACTGTGTGATTGTAGTATCCATGAACGCACGAACTCAATGCAAGTTCCTTCTCACTTGGTTAAACATCTCTTTAGAAAATAATCTCAAAAGATATCCAGCTGTGTGCTATCAGTGAGAATTTAGCGCTTGGCTTTAATTACCCAGCGGATTAGGTCCCAGATAAGATTACCAATCCTGATTCTGATTACAATCATAAGTATCATCGTAAGAAGTTCAAAAGAGCGTTTCACACATTGTTCTCCTAATAAAACTACCTCCCAACAACTAATGACTTTAGTGGATCTAAAAAAATTGGTTGCGCGAAAGCACAGCACTTGAAAAGACTTTCATTCAGGTGGACGGTTCTTCTCATATAAGACTGTGTAGCTTATTCGGTCGAAAACTTTGAGAGCAATTTCATTTGGAACTGAGATTCATTCGGTCAAAGGGTGAAAAGATGCTTAGCAATAAGAATAGTCAGATTCGTTCAAACAGCAACAGTGCAAAACCCGATAAGCCTCGATTCAGTCATTCGAGGTAAAACAAGACCCTTGATTATATTTCAATCACTAAACTGTGTATCTTATTATAGCAACGGTTTTGGTACCCGGTGCAACATTTCATAAAGGTATATCCGAATGAGGACCGGTCAGATTTTGCTGAATAAACGAGTCCTTGAAATTCCTGAGATGAACCGACTGCTTTTCCCAAAGTAGTGCTCGAACTAGGAGTATATAATTTGATTGTATATCCGATCATCATAGGAATGCTATGATATGCCATTATGATTCACTTATCAATATTTTTGTGTAAAGAGCAGTTGGTTATTGTGAATCTACCGCATTTCATAGCTAAAACGTCGGAGACGGAAAAGCATGCCAGCCGTACTGCGTGACAGTCTCTTATCTTCATACGAACTAACTTCAGTCGCTTCCAGAATGCTCCTCCGTCTATCCAGTTTCTTTGTAAAAAATAAAACAACGGCCATGAATAACACTCAGAGCTTACGTGAGCAGTAGATTAAAGTTTTCATTATATGGTTCACCATGTAATACCAACGAGTAACCCGCCAATGAAAAACTGTTTCATCTTTGTTAGGAAACACTAGCTGTCCACTTCAGTGGAGCACTCACAGGAACTTGAACCCGGGGTGAAAGATTGTGAGTAGAATACCTAATCCCTAGACTATCCGAGCTGGCTGTCAGTGGTTTGTCGAACATAAGCGACGGTTTCCGATAGTGAGTTGATCATTGATACTACTCGATGAACCATAATATGCAACACTCAAGGCCTTTGGACAGTGTATCTCAAGGAGAACAAAATGAAGTGCTCAACTTAATGAACAATACAGCCATCTTGTTTTATCCTTTATTGATTGTTCAAGTTACGGTGAAAAATGACCACTGAAAGTACTAAATAAATGGGACAAGTTTCTGTTTTTTTCCTCGAATAAACCCCTAAATACAAACGACTATGGATTTAACTAAGTAGCATGTTTTCTGAGTTTTTAATGCTATCATACTTCGGAGCCTCACAATCTCGTGAATACCGATCACCAGTGAAAACTATATTGAAGCAATCTGAATGACGACGCACAATGAACTAATTCACAAGGACCGGATCAGGTAGAGAGCGTTGTGAGTGCGTCAAACCGATTAGACTGAATGCGTACATAGTGAGTGAGCACACGAACAAGCACACACGAGTGCATGTGTATGTCCGTTTCACTGTGTGTGGGGGATGAAGAAGAGGGTTCAAATGGGTACGTGAATGTATGAATAGAAATATGAATTGGAAGGTCAGTGGGATATGTTCAAGGGGGTACTCTTGCAATGGACTGGGGTAAATCAACCCAAATACACAGTAACTGCTTTGCATGCGCGCCTCACCCGACAAAAAAATAAATAAGTAGGTAAATAAATTGAGAAAACCAATACGAAACAATAGGAAGGGAGATCACTTTACCCGTGTGGCCTTCAGAGTAGTAGTGATGGTAATATATAGGCGATCGATAGAATGCCTGTTACGAACAAATGGTGACAAATACGGAAAATAAGGGATGAAGTTTATTGATTATTTTGCAACATATTTTATTTCGATAATTATCTTCTTACTAGATATGTTAATTGAAAAATTAGCATCAAGCCAATTCCTGTATTTCTTGCTTGGCAACAGCTTTTTTGTAGTTTGTTAGGTTTTGATCACCATTTTCAAACACAAACCAAATACTCTGAAGACGGTCAACCGAGCCCAGAAGAACTAATTAATGCGAATATAATAAAAACCATAGACTGCAAACCATACACGATTACGAACAATCCCGAGTAAACTGTTGCTGCTTACAGATGGAGTAGTTATACACATTCAACACACTGATTAATGCGGCAAAATCAAACAAGTTTTAGGCGGCTTTGTTGTTCCTATCAGGAGTCAGCAACGGTACTTATCAGCTGAATCAAACCGGCAGCTGGAATTCAGGCTATCAGGATTGAGGCCTAGATGTTTCCGTTGGGCGACGCGGGTTGATTTTCAGCATTTCTATTCAAGCCGCATTCAACGCGTGACAAACAGCACCTTCATCACTGGCAAACCAACGAAAATACCTTAAAAGGGACTAATCAAATCTGGAATGGAAGAATTCTTTAAAAGTGCCGACTATGAACGATTGAGTATTCTACGGCCTGCTGCAGTTGGCTGAAATGAGTGTATTCCTTGAAATACATTTGGAAAAGTTTAAAGGTAATCAGACAAAGTTATACTATTCCATGGTTTTTGCTTGAAATATCAATAAAAATTCTCACAAAATCATCTAATTCAAGGAAAAGCACCTAGTTATAAGGAACAATGTTCTCGGCAGATTAGAACCATATGAGCTTCATAATGTAATTCCACGCAAACAGACAGTACGCTTTCGTTCATAAAAATCACTGTAAGGTTGAAAATTCATCGGTTGTGCTCTATATTTATTTTTGGACAAACATTTTATTCCGGGAAAACGAATAATAAACTCCGGTTGTGGTAATCCTTCTAATTACTTTGCATTTCAAAATTGGCTACTAAAACTACTGTTATTAGCCAATCACAAAAGGTTAGAAGGCCGAACTTATTGCAACACATCGACAGACTAATGAAATAGTGTGGATCGATTATTATGACAGAGTAAGATGAAGATGCATCCACACGAAGAACAGTCCAATTATGCTTGCTTCCTTTGGTGAGATGACGCACTCTACAACCGCCGGCATTAGGGGAAAACGGCCAAACAGTGGTCTCTGCCTACAGGTTGCCAACACATTATTCATTCCCTTGAACTAGACAGTGGTGATAAATCTTTGCGCCAGTTCAAGAAGGAATATGTTTTCCTTTATCCATAAGGGCACGTTATATGTTGATTTTTGGGTATTGTTTGCATAGCTAGGTGGGAAAACAGTAGCAATATATCTGTCACATATAATATTTAACAAAAAAGAAACAAAAATTGTATGTTACCTTCGGTTGAAAAAGGTATCAAGGTATTCTGACACAAATTCAGTAAAACCAAGTTTTCACACGACACTTATTTAGTCGTAATTACTGTACTGTGGTTATTAATGGCAAAATTCTAGGAGGCAGGAAGACTAACGTAAACGTGGGCCTTCAGATGCATACAATGTCACTAAACAAACTTTGCTTCTTTAGTATACCTAATGTGAATAATACCTGCTTTAAAATTCACTATTTAACCAGCGAAGAGTTATCACATTGGTTTTTTTCAGTGGAGCTTTGGTAACCTTTGAATGCTCCTATAAATGCTACTGATTTTTTGTTCCGTCTCACTGGCTCCAGAGAGGAGATTTACAGCCCTCGAATGACCTCCTTTTGCTAACAAGAAACAGACAGGTTAAATAAGATGGAATATTCATTGACACCAATGGCCGCATCACAAACTAATCAGCTGAAACTGGCCTCGGGTAACGTCCATTCTGATTGGTTGATTGGTAATGCAGCCATCCACCACTTGACAGGAATTCTGTCTCGTCTTAACGACCCGTTGTCCTGTCGGTCGCGGTTTCATTCGCACAAACCTTAACCTGGATTTTAGTCAGACTCTGATGTGCTGACTGCTTGTGAGACTAAACTGCCTGTCGACGGTGAGTCAGCCCTCACACGGATTCTTTACTTATTCCACTCCAGCTCATGTGTACCATTCACATTTAACCGTCGTGTTCACACTTCCTTTGTACTAATTGAATTAGCATATCTTAATTTTCTCCTTCCCGGGGTAGAATTGGGTTAAGTTGACAAAATTCTCACGGCTACTTCTTTTGTAGGACCTATTTCATTATACCGAAAGAAAGTATAACAAGGAAAGGCAAATCATCGAAAGAATGGAGGTTAAAACGTAGCCTGATTTATTGAAAACCTCAGATGTACAACTTGTGGCAACACAATCGTGATAAACATGACAAGGACCGCATCAAAACGGGCTCACTAACTTACGAACATAAACAATTGGGGAAGCGAACTTTTATTTCACCTTTCCAGTATTACCTGATGCTCTGGATGGACTGGAGGGAATTTGAATAAGCCGGTTTGTAGATTATCTCTGTGATGCAAATTAAACGCCTGGGAATAATAACATTGTTTTGCACCACTAGCAAAACACTGTTATAGCCCGGAATTTTTAAAAGACTACCAGAAATTAATTCTGAAATGACCATTCCAGTCATGACAAAATCATACTTGAAATCTCAGCTCATCAGCAAAATATCCCGCTAATGAATTACCACTTTCTTCGTTCTACTTGGGCACAACCAACATTTAAGAAGAAAACTTCATTTTTTCTGACAATGAAAAACGAGAGGAACGTACACTTCAGTGATTACTTTTTTGGACTAACAGATCGGTGCTCTCTTTCAAAGGATGAACAATCCTAGAAGTAAAACTTACGATTTGTTTTTTTGTCACCGTATAGGGCAGGCCACGAACACGAACCACAACTTGTTCGCCGTTAGTGAGCTGGCTGAGAAAATCCACTACAGCTGACTGATCACCTAGAAAGAATTGGACAAACAGTGAAAACTTAGCGATACGTTCTCGACTGAGCTCAAGTACCACATATTTCTACTCAATTGTGAACTGTGGACACCTTCTCTAGACTTACAGTGGCTTGGTAAGAAAGACAGCATCCAGCCTAGTCGATCCTTTCATCAATATGAGCCATCAAAATGATTTGAGGACAGATGATGTTCTAAGTGGAATGAACCTTTCATTTGCCATGGTGGAGCGTTTAGCTACTAAGATCTTTTTAAGTAGGCAGAGGTAATTTCGAAATTTACAACTATTACTGATGTCGCAAAACAGAGCTTTGAAAATGTTATCTGAATGGGTTCACAAAATAAAGTAACGTTAAAGGAAACGGGAATGGTGGGCCACTGAAATATTTCACTGTGTGGGTTTGTGTGTACGTGAATGAGTGAGTGAGTGAATGAGTGAGTAAGAGTGCGTGTGAACGGTTAGCAACTGAAAGGAAAAGGCCAAATCCGTCTTTCAGACTCACATCCAGCGCATTGAATAAACTCCCGACTAGTTGCCGAGTAAACCTGAAGCATTACAGGCTTTGAGGTAGCAGTGGGCTGGGTAAGTTGGTCCCTCCCAGTTGGTTTGTCTGCTGATTCGGAGAGTGTTTCAGGAAGCAGCGCCCCACAAAGCTGGTGCTGATGACGCACCAAAGCCAACTGGGCATTTAAGACAGACGAGAATGCAACTATGGCGGTGTTGCTTCGTCTTCCATCTGTCAGACGGATGGCCACCCCACCTGGTATGATATTCAAACCGGCAAAGAAACCGGCAATGATGGACGGGGTTGCACTCCAAGGGACTTGTCGAACTTCAACCACTTGACTGTCTTTGAGTGATATATTTTTGGAACTAAAATTTAGAGGTAAGCGTACACATTCTAAAGCCGATTTCATTAACAGATATAAGTGAACAGATCCTTCTCAAATCTGAAGATAAGGATACACATTTCAAAAGTAATAACATTATGATATAGGCATTTTTTATCCGCGGTACATTATAAATAAAATAAGGGCGAATGCTTGACGGGTGGTAATCCACTAACCCCTTAAGTCAACCACTTTCAGGAAAGATTTCACATTTTTGCCAGAAATATCTTATTTTCAATGATGTGACCATCTGGTTCTATTTAATAATCTTCAGAAGGTTTTGGCAACCACACAAAAACGTTATTTGGGAAACCAGCTAGACACTCTGAGGATGAACAAAACCAGTTTGATCGAAACAGTGCGTAACGAAGATAATTAATCGATCATCTAGACGAGGAACAAGGGACTAGAGTCAAGTGGTTTGCTAGAGACGTAATCGTCAAACAGTTCAGTATGAGACTGGCCAAGTTATATGACACGCATAGCGCTACCTGTATAACTTTTCACGTTTGCTTATGGATACGGCCACATTGGAGGCTTTATCACTGGGGCTGAATTTCTGTTGCCCTGCCTCTAGGGATCATCAATTAGACGTGGAGGTGCTATCTGAAAAACGTACACGCTCAAACTAACTCATCGACAAAAGCACAGCAAGCGACTGATGGTCCCAAATCTATCCTAGCTGATCGTTTGCATCCTTGTTGTTGAACCCGAAGGAATATCAGAAGTAATCTCAATGATCAACGCAGAAAACCAGTGAGAATGATGGGAAATAACAAAAACATTGCCAACTCGAGACCGGACATATGACCAGGGGCTGCCATCGCATATCGTGTAGATTATATCACCAAGATTAGCGATATTACAGCGCAGTTCCCCTCTCTATTGTAAGGTGAGAAAATTCCGAAGAATTGGATTGCTTCCTTTCTGTTACTTATTCTCAGGAAAGCAGACAAGACAGTATACAAGAACTGCCGTGGGACTAGTCTAATTGGCGTTGTTACAAAGGCTTCCTGTGTATTGCTACTCAGTCACTTCTCAGTTACAAGAAACACCCTTGCTCGATGGAATCAGGGTGGTTTCCATCGCGAACAAAATTTTCATATTGCTTCTAGTACCGGAACACCGACATTAATTCTGGCTGTCAACAGTAGCCTGCTTAGTCGATTTCCGTACTGCCTTTTACTCGGTTGATCGTGAATCCCCACGAGGTATATCAGAATCAGACGGTATTTCTATCAAACTTTCGGGGATCCTGAGGGCTTACTACACCTCCTCTGATGCTCTAGGTTAAATGTGTGACCAAGAATCTTCTAAGTTTGCAAATAATTTCGGGGATAGGACTAACCCTTCTCACCAGTTTTGTTTGACTACGTAGTCAACTGGACAGTGGACGCAGATTTGACTGATTACCCCGTAGTCCAACTGATTTTAACGGCCCAAGTCTCGGAAATAAGGTTGGCAGACGGCATTGTCATGCTAGAAGATTCTCTCGCCACACTTCAGCCATTCCTCATCCGATCAGACAGCTTCGGAAAATTGATTGCTCTTAAAGTCATTTGGGCAAAAACGAAGGTTTTTTGGACTTACCACCTAGCAGGAGATATTTTTGTGAAAGCAAGAAGGGAACACATTACGGGATCCTAGGAAGATGAAGAAATCGGAAGAGGTAAAGGTAAAACTAGAACGGTAGAGGAAAAGATCACTGCAGCACTGAAGTCATAACAACAGCCCGATTTTGTCTACCACACAACGACACAGCAGCTGAGACCAACTGGAATCATTATTGCTTGACTTAAAGGGGTAACGTAGGTGCACAAATCAGGAATGCCACTGAGACCGATACTCGACATATGTCCGTAACTTTCTGCTGCTCGAGGATTCATAGATACACCTGAACCGGTCAGTCGAAGGATTGCCCACTACATCCTGAAAGACACGTTCCAATTCATGAGACCATTTGGCGAACAACGTCCTGAAGAGCTAACGATGGCCACCCTGGAAGTGACATCTTTGTTTACCAGCGGCCCACTTCCAGAAACCACTTTCCATTTATGCGATTTCATCTTGGAAAACGTAATCCATATTGGTGTTCCAGCAACTGATCTGAAGGAACTGTTTTTGCGATGAGCTTCCAATGTTCAGTTTATCTTCAACAGAGATTTCTTCCCTCAGACGAATGGACTCGCGGTAGGGTTGACCCCAAGACCCTTAGAGGCTGACCCATTCATCTCTAGGATGAAGAATGAGACAGGTAGACGGACAACAGAAGGTGTGCTCGTCTACCCTTAATACGGAGATGACATTTTTGTTTTGACTGGTAGGCACAGACAGTTGAATTCATTGGTGGAGGAGTTCAATCAGACCCACAATGCCACTGATTTTACATCAGAAATTGAAGAAGAGAACATTTTTCCCTCCCTGGACGTATGTCTCATAAGAGACGAAGATAGAGAACTAATCCGTCGCAAGTATCGCGAACCAAGGTGGAAGGGGTCAGTTTATTAATTTCGCCAGTTTTGTACCCCTGGCACGTAAACGAAACCTAATTCGTTCCCTCGAGGCCCGCATGTGAAAGAAGTGCTCGGTTGAGATGGTGAGTAAAGAATTGGATAAGTTGAAACAAACTTTTCTAAACAACGGAAACCTCGAAATTTTCAGTTAGAAGAACATATAAGAGAGACCAACGAGACTGGTATTGATAACTTCTAAGAAGGAAGAAGTGCGCAACAAACTCCTTTTCAGAGGAGTTGACAAAGCGAGTTTTTAGTAAGACTTCCAGAAAAGACAATCGCTCGCGTTTTTATCGTTAACATACTACGTGCCCTTTTCACCGATCGATCGATGGTCTCAGTTATCCATAAGTACACGTTCCTGGTCCTTACCCCCTTCATGCTGACCTATTCTGTTTTGCATGTTCGGAAAGCTACGTAGGATGGCATGGAAAGTATCATCGGAGATCAAAGAGAATAAAGTTTCTTGGTTGATGACGGGAACAGAAAAGCTATTGCTAGTGGAATCGTGGCACATTTTGCAGATACCAGACGTAACGTGAAGGACGACGCATACGAAATAGCCCACGGAGCCTCTACGAACGCACCAAAAGTCGATTAAAAGCAAATTTTAGCAACAACAGAAGTTATAGCGATCAGATTATTCAATCCCTCGCTTTGTAATCAAAAGCGTTTCGTTATTGCACTCAAAATGCCATGGCTTCAATCAAAACTGACCTTCGAACTCGGAGCCATTCAGACTCTGACTCTTTAGTTGAAACCAAAAATAGGTAAACCCCGGAAACCAAGTCCATTACTCCGCTAGCATCTGCCCAACCACGGAATAACAACACTTACGCTGTAACATTTTTCTAACTACGCAACACCAATTTTCATGGCCAACCAATCACATTTTGACACGCAGCCATTGTTTGCAAAATTAAACATTTCTGATCTACAGATGTAATTGTATTGGTTATAAGGATAATGTGGCCGAAAACGAGATTGTTCGCTGTTCGTGTTTTCACTATGTAGGAATAATCCTTTGATGCACTTTAAGAATATAATTACACTCAGTGCATATGTAAAAATCCTTTTACGTGTTCACGTATTTTCAAATCATTTCGCTTACCATCGAGGGAAATGAGAACTGATCGTATTTCACGTTTTACTATCCACATGTATACATTAGTTGTAAGAGCTGTCTGTGGACGGGAAAAATTTCCCGACTCATAAAACCGGTTTCATGAGTTTTCCCTTATTCACTATATTTCTAAACGGTGATATATGGGTGACCTCTCAGCTACTCGGGACTCTATCGCTAGCTCCGAACCTCAATAGTTTTTGTTTTGCCCATGTTATAATAACAACGCAATGACCTTGATGGTAAGTATCCTTTTCGTCACCATTTAACATGAGTTTTCTCTTGTTTTCTTAGCATGTGGGAGTCAATTCAAAGAATAACTTCCAAGCTGAGACACACAGACAGAAAATTACTGTTATTATATGAAGACGCACTAGTAATTAAGCGCGATATCTTTTGTATCACTTTAGGTTACATTTCTAATTGTATTATCAAATAAAGTTACGCACGAAATTTTCACCACTCTGTTGTATCTACATTAATCACGGCAAACCTATACATTTTACAACCGAAATTCTAGTCTATCAAGATAAATTATTCCCATAGTCTATCGTATTTCCCACTGGGATTGATTAGGTAATGACATAGCAAAGACGTATGAATGTAAAAAGATGATATCTTTTAAACTCACAAGACTCGATGTTCATATTGATTCCTTATGATTTGCGGTTCACACAAAGGGATATCTGAACAGTGAATGAGGATTCAGCAGAAGCCAGTCAGTCAATGTTTATTGCGCAGCTTTTATCAGAAAAATATTTTCAGTCCGTTTGATTTGTTATCTTATTAAGATGTACTAGCCCGTGTAAACCGATGCACACATCTATGAATTCCTCATTTGGAAAGTTTTGGTCGTACTTGTTTGATTTTGAAGCTCCAAGTTAGTCTAACTGAGGGGTTAAACTCGTCTTTTTTTGAACACTGTAATCTTTAAGTTTATTTACTGGATGGCAGTAAATAAAGTCAGTCAGACTTGATTCATTTATTGCACCATTTCATTATCGTTATTACGGGTGTCATGCATTAAGACATCGATGTTCAAATTGTCCACTGTCCTTTTCGTTGCTTTAGTGCGAAATTAGTTATCGTGTACAAGCCACCGTAGACAAAGGGTGTGAGTTCGGTTGGTTTTGGATGATGGACCTAGAGAGTGACATGATTAGCTCTTTCTGTGGGTAGTGTGCCAATGTAAATTTTTGAGTCGAACTCAGTGCATAACTTCCACAGTCTGAGACAGAAAGTTTACACTTGTTAAATTCAGTTTGCACTCAATTTTATCAGTGCTTCAGGAACTCACGTCTACATTATCGAGTAGCTACTGTTTTGTGGAAATCGACTCCGTGCTGACCTCAGTCTAACTCACTTGCAGATCACTTCTAATTTACTGCAATTCTGATCGAAAAGCACGACAAAGAAACTTAAAACAGAAAAGTACATCCTTAAGTGACTAAATAGGCTAATTACTCACCTCATCTCAAATAGACAGGATCGAATTCCGGATGAAGACTTTGTCCTGGAAGACCTTTTTACACTTTATACAATAGCGAGTTCATATGGCATGCACGCTTGTCTTTGGAACTTAACCGACTCAAGAAGTGCCTTAAAGAACTTCCTTACTGTATCAAATATAACAGGTGTGAAATGTAGTAGTTTGTGACTGTGTCAATTACAGCGAAACAAATACAAAAGACTTGAGCGATCATTTATGTGCTTGCAGAGTTTCAAGATATCATGATTTTCTCAAAAGTTTTACTTTTCACTAACAGCATTCCCATTGTCTCAATGGTACCGAGATATCCGAGTTAATTTGCTTACATTTGCAGTTCGATTCCACTATGTTCCAAGCTGAGAAATGCGAACCTCATTAGTGATTGATCACATTATCTTTCAGCATGCTCAACCTTCACTCACCTCCATCAAAGAGACGAATTTCGAATATGAAAACCGGTTTCAAATAGCACCGTGATCAACACAAAATAAGATAACAACGTAACGATCTTATTAACTGTGATATTTTGGCCTAAGTGACTGGGTAGTTAGTAAGAGAAAAACGCTACCGTCTATTAGGATAAACAATTGTAATCTGACTGCATGTGAATCCCAGTGTTATATAAACATCGTGGTTATATCGATGATTTTGAACCGGATTAATTATTCAACTGTAAGATGTTTACGAATTATTTCCGTAGTAGTATAAACGTTGCCTCAGAATAATAGATCCAGTTGAACGCTGATTGATAAGATTCAAGGTTATCAACAAAACAGTTCATAGATGCACGAACAGAACAAAGCTTACGAACGATAAGTGAATTTATATTCATTGAACTTGATGAGAGTCGGTTATTGCTAGTGCTTTGGTGCAAATTACTGTTGTGAATTTTACTCGAAACTTGTCGGTTTGATCAGAGTATAGAGCTACTCAGGTTTTTCAGAGTGCTTTAGTTAAAAGCGGAAATCTTTTCTTTTCATGAGTATACATGAGCAAATTGAAAGAGTTACACACAAAAGATATTACTAATCTGCATGTTTTATTGCCACGATCAAACGAATAATTAGATATTGATTACCGTAGGAATCGGTGGTAATGAGTGGTAATCGAAGGGAAAAATGGTAGGTGGTGGAAAGGCAATTTTGTTTGTTCATGGTGTACTTTCTGAAGTGCAGAGGTAAGAATTTTTATTTATATCCCTAGCACGTCAGTTCTGTGCTCGACATAACTAAACCCTTAACTGATGCTCTCAATTATTCGTAACACCATCAACTCTTCTTTCACGTTTCCTTTGGACGACTGGAATTTCAATGTTGGTCACCATTCTCAACTGATCAATAGAAATAACTAGGTTAGAGATTCTGCAGCGCAGGCTGATTAATATTTCAACTGGTTTGTGTGTTTTCACTTCAGGATCTCAGGGTCTTGGTGACCGGTTCTCTTCGAGAAAGCAATAAATGCTTTGTTGAATAATGATGCTAACTCTGTGATCCACATACGCGTGTTCTGCCAATGTTACAGTCAGATAATATTCATATTCATGCAACTTGAATGATCAGCATCACTTGGTAAATTCTGTTACCGATCCGAATTTGGATGCAGCCGCTCGGCACAGCTTTCACTAATTTTCTTCAAAATTTGTGACATAAAATAACGCCTATCGTTGTCGTTTGAAGTAATTTGGTTCACTACGTGAAGCACAGCCCATCCGTTGCCGGGGAGAAACGGTGGCAACCAATCACCTATATAGGAATCATCTCGTAGGTGGGACATCGCCATAGAAAATAAAGTGAAACCACGGAGAATGGTTACTTGATCGCTCAGAGCTTTGGTGGTCAAGCGGTCACGATGGTAGACTTCAAACCCTTTTTCTCCTGCGTTTAAATCCTGCTTCCTTCGCCGGCGTCTTTCCCCAAGTGGTGGTCTATAATTATTCGTGACCCCCTTCCTGAATTATTTTACCAATATTGCATGGTGAGGGTAAGTAAATAAGGAATAAAGATGTATGGAAGTGGAATAAACTACCAAGAACCTGACTGGATAGCCTAGAGGTAACGTGTATGACTCACGCTCATGCACTCCGGGATTCCAATCAAAGCTGGACCGCGTTGGAGACCCACTGCTCTTGATTCCTAACAAGAACGAAGTAGCTGCGCAGTCTTTATACAGAACCGGTAAGGCATGAGGAATCATTTGATGAATAAACAGAAAGCAGCTTAGGAGCTATGGAAGTCCGTTAAAAAATAGGAACTTTCAAACTCCATACGAATTACTCACTGATTTCAATCATCTTCTGGATGACAGCGACCATTTGGTCTAGCTTTGTCAAAGCACTGCCCGTATTGGAGCAGGAATCCAGATTCAGTTGAAGAGCTGCAAAATAACATGATATAAGGATTTCATTGAGGCTGAGTATCTAGTGAACAAAATGAAGAAAACGGTGAAAGATCAAATAGAATAAGTTAGTTATCTCCATGAGTCATAACCGAGACCGGCTCGGAGTGCATCGAAAAACCGAAGAGCTCTATGAAAAGTAGCAGTAAAATTTTATTGTCCATTGACACAGTGTAGTTTCATTCGCTTGTAAATTCGGTCTTGAAAATGGTTACTCTTGATGATCGAAATGTCGGCAACCTACCAACGGTTTCGACAATGCTGTGCTACTGAACAATGAAATTTTATTAGTAGTCTTATTTTCCTAATCTTGTTCCGGTCAAGTGAGAAGTAAAGTGCTATCGTATCTCGTTGACTAGTTTCCGTAGACTGGTAACCGCAGACATACTGTTAGGATAAATGACTAATACATCATTCTTGAACTTTCAACTTACTGTACTACTTCTACGCTAAAAGTACTAATTACATTTTCTTAAAAAAGGTTAACTCTCGTCTGCTGTTTCTAAAGATAATGAGCTCTACGAATGCTCCAGATACCCAAAACAATAACATTAAAATATGCATTTTGTGTGAGCCAGAAATCCTCCTTCCTACTGAACGGTTTAAATGAATAGCTTCCTCAAACATAGCTTTTAGATCAGAAGATAGTCATTTAAATATATATTGGTAAGATAAAAAAAGACCATGAAAACCCCGTCAACCTTATCCTCGGTATGATACACTCGTTTTACTGAAATTCAGTTAACGTCACAGAAGGGTTTTCGTAATTTTTTTCTAACTCATATTTTCTGCACAAAAGTCTGTTTGCGACGACTCATTTTGCAGGTAATGCTCACTAACCACAAGGGTCAGATATAAATGCACTTTTAGGCCCGGGGCCTTATAGATTCAAATCAAAAAACTATGTTTCCATAGGAGCCTCAATTATATGCAGGGGGTTGACTTCATAGTAAAAGTAGTCATTTACGATAATCAAGTACGCAGTACAAACAGATGGAAGCGCGAAATCGTTTATTACCGTAAAAATCCATCAATTTCCTAAAAACGGATTATCTCCATGTGGACTTCAGTGAATCATCAATTTTCCCGAAGTAAACCAAGAAGTTGTCTCACATTTTTTAAAGGCATTGTAATCAGAGAATGATAAGGTAACCGGTCCTGGAACCAACAGCTACGCATAGCCAGCTGATCAGCTTTGCAACTTAGTTCACTGAGAGACGAAAAATGTAGTTTTTTCAACTTCATAAGTCATATAAACGGGCACATTTGGCTGGTGCATACACAAGCTCTTTATCGTACAGCGTTAAACAGGTGGACAAGCCCCACTGACCACTGCCTTTCTCACCATGTTGCACGTAGAAGTAGAAAGAATGAATATAAAAAGTGGGCAGGGAGTGGAACTAGAGGGGTGGGAAAAGGAAAGAATGCCCTAGTAGCTAACACACGAAATACACAGTCTAACTGTAAAAAGACATATTGATCAATCATTCTTATTCTACAGAAAGTGACAACACGGTCGCCACTGTTCACGGTTCGTTTCCATATCCTTCAGTATCTCCAGCCAATCGGTTGAGGGATCCTTTGGCCTCAACCACGGAAAAGTGAGGTACCTACATTTCCTAAGGTAACCGTGCTTTTTCTCATTCCTCTCTGCCACGTCATCTGTTGGTTTCCGCGTGGCTTCCTGCACTCCCGAGGAGGAAGGGAATACAGGGCACGGTACGGTAGACGTGTTTGCCATGTGTAACAAAAGCCTCAATCAACGAAGTCTATCAAGCTTCATACGCTGTGATAGAGTATTCTCTGAACTGATACACAGTACTCTTTTTCTGTTGCTCACTCGGTCATTCCATTCCATTTTAGCGTTACTATTTAAACACCGATGGTCGAAGCGTGGTTGAAGCATCCTCGACCTGGGCGGAATCCGGCCTGCTGTCCTTGGGCGTTCCTCTCGTGAGTCGGTGTCAGACGACGCAGCAAAATCGGAGCTGATGCACCGGTGATAATCGAAATTAAATGGATCTGGCGATGATTACTAAAATCCTTACATATTCCTTTCTTGAAGATGAGTATATTCATTACAGGGAGATTTGGGGAGAGAATGACAAAAAATATCATTTGGGTGGCAGTCAAGAGTTTGGTAACGTCTTGAGAAATTCCAGGACGCAAGCTTTCTGATTGGCTTTAGCCCATGAGGCGTATTTGTCGTAGAGATCAACCGCAGCACACTACAGATCAAGAGTAAATACTGTGTAGCTCTTTGTACGTGAAGCCTTGCGTCTATTCAAGTTGTTTCTTTAAACATGGTGTTAGGCCCTCTAAGATAGCGAATAAGAGACCTAGTGAACAAAAAAGCAATAATCATATATTAACCCTCCGAAATGCTACAATGAACAGTCCCAAATTTCAAAGCTCAAGGTTTTCGCGAAACAGTAGCCGATGTTGAACTTGCAGTGAAATTTACAGGCTTAATGTTTAGAAAGTATTAAGATAGACGTCCAGTTTAAACGATAAAGGCGGAAACATTATTCAATGACCGCAGCTGTTCACATGAACAGTGACAAGCTACCGGAACAAGAACATGAAATTAATCAACCTATTGAATTGATTGATTTCGGAGAATTAGAATGCGGGTATCCTGTCGCCATCACTCCAAATTTTCTGGTTTCGTATTTCGCGTACTTCTCTTTACGGTGGTTCTCATCCGTTCGCACCCACGTGGCACACGCACAGCTACAAGTCCATGCGTACTCACATATACAACAAGCGGGCAAGCGCACCTTAACTGTCTAAAGAGAACGGCCATCTGATTTATGGTACCAAAGGCCAACATAGGCTGATCGTGTTGCCCCATACTGAAGAATATGTTACCCCAAAGCAACATCGATGGCGAACTTCGAAGTCCAGTGGAAACCTAAGATAATTCATGTCTCTGGATAAAAACAAACTGAACATTTAGATGACAACATTGCACGATAGTTCAAAGAATTTGAAAGCATTTCAGAATGTTAGACCTTGTACCGACGACAGTGCCGACCAATCACGCACTTTGTATCTAGTAAATCAGTAAATATATATCCATATCATCCACACAAATCCGCAGCTAACACTTTATCCCTGTACCGAGACGTACAAGTCTTCTACGGTACCATATTCTGCCCGCTTCCTCGTCCACTTTGATGCTATCACTGTAGAACTAAACTCAATGCTGAGTTGAAATTATATTCAAGTAAATTATTAGTTTGCTATTGAAAATGATTAAGTAGCCACTGGGTATCCACTCTAGGGTGTACAAAACATGTACTTATATTGAATTGTCTTAAGCTTTTGGTTCTCAAATTGGAAAACTACTCAGGCCTTAGTGCATGATAATTAACTTGTAACTTGAGTAGCCTTCAGAATTGAAGTGGTAGTATAGAATCATGTCCTCGCTGATTTCCCTGTTCTTAGATATGGGGTAAAAAATAAAAAGTTGGTTTACAAGGAATTTCTTCCAACATTTTTAGGAATACCTCGTGTATTACTTCTGATAGCATAATTTAAAGTAGTATTTCTGAATGTACTGGAGGAGTTCCGGATAATTAAATGCCTAATATGGTGTCCTGCTCTAAACATAAACGAATCTGTAGGCATCGATTTCCCGGACTAATGATAAAAATGTGGTGGGCTATCTCGTAAAAGCATAAAACTTTACTGTACATGTGCCCGGTTCACGACCAACTTCACTCAAGCTGAAGAAGCACAAAATATCTACCTTGCATCAACTTACATTAACTTAAATTCACAGCTGTAACGGTCGTTTTACACGAGTTATATCAATTTAATTCCATCACCACTTGAAGTTATTAGTTATCTTTTGCATGCATCCTATTTTACTGATTGTACAATGCCACTAAAGTATTATAACCGCAATCATGACCCACCACTTTACAATTCAAAGAAAATTTTAGTCTGATTGACATGTTTTATTGTCTTCTAGTGATTGAATCGGCGCCAGTGAGAATAAACAGTTTGACCAATGCAAACTAAGTTTTTTTGTCTGAAGAGCAACTTCGCAATTAAATGGATCGAATCAAGTCAATATCTGTGTTACTACTTTACCGCGGTCATCGTGTTTGTGTGCTGTGACGAACCCGAGGGCTATGCCGGTTGTAGCTCGAAGTGCTCCCTCTGGGTCATCCATATCAAACGGACCTAGGGACAATAGCCAGAAGAAGGCAGCGTGGAGTTGTTAAATGGGGTGGTGGGGTTTTGCCTGGTAAATAATTACATCAAAGTCACGGAATCCCATAGACAGTGCGCGAATGTGGTCAGCCAATGAATGGGGCCATTGTCTCTTGTCTCCTACTCAGCCATTATGAGTGAGGTAAGATTCGCTGGGGCACTTTTGACATCTTTGACTGGCAGACCACCTTCCAAAAAGGGTATGAACCGCTCTTTCTTTTGTCTGCTCTCAACAAACAGACTTTCGATTGTTCGACGGGTACAACTTAGTTGTACACGGGCTAGAGTTACTAGCTCGAACGAAGGCCGAGTGACGCCGGGGCCGCTGCTTTGTATCTAAATCCTAAGACACTTTATAAACAGTTCCTGTATACACATCACTCATATGCAAGTGCCTTTCTGAATATCCAGGAAGTAGGATCATCCTCTGGCAGGAGCTAGCTGCATAAAGGTAAAAATGCAACATCCCGTGTCATCGTCGTACATCAGTTAAGTGGATAATTAGGCCAATGGAGAAGGTGAACAATGCACTGATACCGTCAAGTAACCATAAACACACTTCAAGTTTGTACCGACAATTTCGGCTATTTTTACTATTGTTTTATCACTGTGCAGATAACATGGAAGACTCCAGGCCATCCACAACGTGCTGCGGAAGCAGAGAAAGGAAAGCCGTAGTTACACAGTCATAAAACTCACCTTCAGTTACATCCGCGAGGGTACTGATAGATGTTCTCGGATTTGAGTCGAAAGATGGAGCTTGTTTGCACCAACTGATCAAATCCACATACGATCCCCAAGGCGAACGGCCCAGTCGTTCATGATCTAGTCCGCGATAAGCGGCTTCTGGGTGAAGCACGTTTCGTGGGGCTTTGTGCCCATCCGTTATGAGAATGACTGAGCTGTCTGTAGGAGAATCACCAATCTGGACTCCCTGAGAAGTTATCCACTTTTCGATCTACAAAATGAAGATTGTTTCAATATACTATTAGTTTACAGCAATCACTTTTGCAATAATTAATGTGACTGAAATTCATACACTGATTACGGATCACAGAAAACCTATGCACATAGTAATTTGATGTTATTTTCAAGCCCTGAATGGTCTTAGTTTAGTTTGTTAAGGTGTGCTTATCCAACCCATCCTGGTACACTCACAGATGTACAGCCTGATTCCGGAGGAATTTCAAAAGTGGAAAAATAATTTAATATTAGGTGGAAACTCGAAGTACATCTTACACTCTGTGGGTCTTTAGCATAACCCCCTATATTGCACATGCTTAGTCCTATTTTCGCTTTTAGATAGAAGACAAAGTGTGATACATAGATATTTCTTCTGCTCTTCTCAGTAGCACTCATAAGTGCGAAGCATTGAGTTCGTACAGTCATGACAATTAGCTAAGCACAAATAAAATAATACCGAGGAGAACGTGATAGATAGTTAAATTCCGTGCGCGTTGTGAGAATCGACGTTTTCTGATTAATAATGCTTTGCAAAGAACCTGTGTGTGCCCATTCAGTGTGCTCATTTATGCCATTCGAAAAAGATGCAACTGATGTTTAGTCTTAGTTTGGATTTGGTTTTTGTGATCAGGGGCAGCATTAGTCATTTTATGTGCAAATCCAGTGGACGTGTTATGCAATGCGCCTGACTGATTCATTTTCTGTTAGCGTAAGAGCACCGGAGTTTAGATAAGCATGGCGCTGAAAGTTATTCAGGTCAGACGTAATGTTCAGATGGATTATAAGTGTCAGTCTTCTGCAAGTTTGCAATAAATGCGACTCGGATAAGCAGAGACACCATCAACGACATGGTATAATAGGCATTTGCTTTATTTTTGGCGACCTCGTAGACCGGTGCGATTCTGAACTCTGAACATATACGAATACCAACTTTTCTATTTAAAACAAATCCGCTATACTAAACCAGATCCTAATCGACAGTCAATTGTTCAAAATAAGGGGTATAGGTTTTTTCAAGACGAGCAAATGCCGTCACGATAAACGCAACCTACGGATGGCATAAATAAAACTAAGTCCAGTTTGAGATTTTAGTAGAGGAAGAATGCTGGGGGTAGGCAAACTGCCACTGAGTGAAGCGCATCTAAAAGCGAACTTTTACGGTTAAATTCCTCTCGTCTAGCTGAAAAGAAAACGTTTTTTGTTATTTTATGACCATTGCATATCTCTCAGTAGCACAAATTTCAGACGTCCCATTATATGGTTGGCTACCTGATGGAGCCCACATTCGTGAACTAAGACCACGTCAGAGAACTGGTTTGTGCAACAGACTGCGATTCCACTGAGTTTTTTGCAACTTTCGATCAACCTTTGGTGTCTATATGCTTCGGCTGAAATCCAAGTATATATATTTTTCACACCCGTCTGATTTAAGACTCTGCGCCAAACAAAACATGGAACAATCAGGAAAGAAGGGGTACATATTCCGAGTCCATGATTTGTTTGTGGGCCCAATACTACCAGGTTGTCCAAGTCAAAGCAGGTGGTTTTCTTAGGAATCCACGACCGGAGTTTTTAGCTACCCAAAGATTAACGTGCAAGGCAGCGGGACGAAACGTGGGACCCATAACCCACTGGGAGCCGGTGACTGATTACTCAATTCGTACTCCCCGTTGGATGAGGCCAAACATCCTGGAAGCCCAGTGCACCTAGCTGCCACAGATGCCCGTGAACACTCCTCTGTACGCCCCATACGCCACCCACTGTCTGAAGTTCAAGATGCACGATGAAATGCAAGTCGACTGCAATTCGCTTTCGCCCTGCTCGTTATCGCAGCTAACCAACTGGGATTTTCTGTGGTTAACCATTCCAAGTTTGTCTGTTATCCCTATAAATGCAATGTACCTCATAGGTTATGTGGTACGCACCTTTCACTGCACTTCTGCATAAGGCTGTAATTAAAACGGTTACGCTGTGATAAACTGACACAACCAGCCCATCTATCGAACTTCCAAAACTCTCTAAATGAAAAGCTAACAACTACCTCATTAGAAAATTTAAATCAGCACCAAACACTTCATAAGAAAGCGCTGCATCCTTCGCAAATGGTGAATTGTGGCCTGACGCTTAATATTTTGAAACCCTAGACTTTCTGAGCCCACTCAACTTCAAGACGCTTTCCGGTCAATGACGGCCAGCACTGAGCACAGTAGAATACTCCTTGCCATGGGAAGACACCTCAAGGCAAGTCTACTCAGAGAACGCGAAACCTTTTAGTCAGATCGCGGGAAATTCCAGCAAACCTTTGCATATTATCTATGTATATGGTAGAAAACAGCTGAGAGCAAGGTAAGTGACCTGTGAAGTTTGCGGTACTTTCACTATCTGTTTTCTGTTCTGACTCAAAATGCAACCCATCTAGTCCCCCTGCTGTGATTTTTACTGTGGTTAATTGATCTGCTTAAGCTCCATGGCCTTTTACTACCACAGAGGTAGAACAAGGTGGTCGAAACCTTAGGATGTCACTAGTCACCAGGCTGTCAATGCTTATCTCTAATTCTACTTGGAAATAAGGAAACGGTCATTACAGAAAGATGGGTTTCTCTCAAGGATTGAAAATTCAGACCATATCCCCCCTGTGAGCGGGTATCTGTTGTAGGAGTCATTTTAAAAGTCTTGCGGTAGCTAGTAATCCACTGTCGCTGGGCTGTTGACCGCGCCTGACCTATTGAGACCTTATGTGGTCATCCACCTATAGTCTCAGGATCAGGTTGCCGATTATCCCTAATAGTGTAGTCGGTCTTCGAGGTTATGGAGTGTTCATCCCTTTCGCTACACTCCTGAGCAAACATATAAAAATCCCACAGAAGTGTGACCCATATGTTATAAGCGTCTAATTTGTTGGTATCCATCATGCTTCGCAGACTGCGATACACTCTTAAAGTGCAAACCAGCAAGAGTAAACTAGTTATTGCTTCAGTTATGGGCATGTCGATCAAAACTTCGTACTCCGTCAGCTGCTTGGGCACGGGCAGACATTCCAAAAGCCATCATTTACGTTATTCTGAATTCTCGCGCAACTTTCGATGCCATCGATGAGGCAGAAACATGAAGCTGTTTGTTGATAAATGATGTCAGTGAGAACTGTATTACAACCCTCTTGAAGCCTGGTTAAGACACATCTTCAAGGCAATACAACAGTGCCATTCAATATCCTTTTTACTTCTTGCTTATTTTTAATTTATTATGCAACAATATGCAACAGTTCAGGAAGGGGGCTGCAGCCAACAAAATGCTGCGGAATGGAGAAGTGACCGATAGTGACGGGCAGTCGAACCCTGGGTAGTTATCTTTCGGAGTCCACGACAATAGCCGTTTGACCTCCGCCGGTCGTGTTCTTCGAGTTGTCATAGAATGTGCAACGGGATGGACTACTCGGCCTAACTGAACTCCTTCTATGGAACTACGATTTTTAATGGCTATGGACCACTCCCTAATGGGGAAACTTGGTGTCCGATTTCCTGGAAACAATCCTCACCATTAAGGGCAACACCATGAGAAGAGCGCTAAAGCTCATTGCGGTGTATTGGGTACAGATGATGGATCTCTTGGAGTGGTAATCAATGTGTACCATTTATAATGATTCGGACATTTCTTGCATAAGTCTGCTTAACAGGGTGCATTTCATGTATTCTGTCGACAGCTATGCTAATTTATGGGGCAACCCGATTGTCTTGACGTAACTGTATGACTACCGGGACTACCGTTGATCAGAAAAATGCTATGTGGTTTGTTTATGAGACTCAGTAGTTCCGAAATTATTTACCACCACTAAAGAAAACGAATACAGAAAGTGTACAAAGAAGTTAAAAGGTGCCTACTGATTTTATTCTTGTTTGGAATATTTTGTTTTCACTCATTTCGTGTTTTTGAGACAACTTCAATACTCAGGCCTGTGATATATATATATATATATATATATATATATATATATATAATGTTAGTCACTGGTCGAATAAATAGAAAAAAATACCCTGCCCAACAAATTTGTGAGGGAATAAATAATTGTCTTGTCCTTGTTTTCGTTGCCTAAGCTTCGTTTTGAATAAATTTCAGGCATACTAGAGAAATGGACCGGCTGAATGATCAGAAGCTTTTTGAACAAGTTTTTGGTTTCAACTAGAAAGAATGGGGTTTGATCGATTAGTGAATTCCCCTACCTTTCCAACCGAAGACGGCTCTACTGGTCAACATCATTCGTTGGTTATGTAAACATGCTGCAAAACAGATGTTGCTTTGGCCCGAAGCATGCAACCTGAAAACCGCTGTGTGAACACACATTCACAGATACCCATGTAGAACGAATAAGCACACAAACACAGAATCACTTCGAAATGCTTGCCTACATAAAAGTGCACTACGTATCATTGAAAAGCTTCCTCCATTGGTGCTTGCTGTAGAAGATTCGTTCGTCAACGGATACGATGGCCGAGTCAACAGAGAATTTGATAGGAAGAAATGGCTCAGATGGGTGCAGTCGACTAATTTCGTGACCATTTCCGATCAAGTAAAAGTTTGAAATACTTCGCGTTGGTGCTCCGGTTTCTTCTGCTATTCTCCTGTAGAACCTGATCATAAGACCAACTTTTGGGAGTACTTAGTAGAAAACCCAAATTTATACTCCTTTTACTTGTAACCACGTGAAAGCAAAACCCTGCCATAGCCGATGAGCAAGTTAGCGGGCAAGCAAGTAAGAATTGAAAGGAGTTACTTGCGCTTTAACGAGGAAGCTCAGCGTTCATTCGGCTGAGATCGGCCAAGGTCAATCGGCACCATTCGAGATCGACCAGTCAACACTATCCAAACTAAAGCATAAGCGAAAATCCGTACCGTAGGGGGCTACACTTATTTATGAGTGGGATGCTGATCGGTTGTTAGCCTAGTAAGCTTGTGGATGCGAGTGTTTGCCTTTTCGAGCCCATGACCTTTTAAACCGAATGCGACTCTAACATAAAGAGAACATGAAGATTGGGAGTTTTTCTATCGAAATACTTAAATGATATCCACAAAAGCTCCTCAGTGCTCGTAAAGACAGCCCCTTCCGTTGATACAACCTGCTAAGATGTATATTGAAATCTAACATTTTCATTCTTTTTGGAAAACGATACATGAAACCTTTAGGCCACTTCCGGTTACTGTACTGTTTGCTTCACTCACTTCCTATGAGTCATTCAACAATTATGATGCTTTCACAAACTGGGAAGTTGGCTAATTGTGAGTTGGTGATGGCAGTGCTTAGCAACATATTTAGGGTCCATAAAAATATTCGAACAACTCCAAGGTTCAAATGTTCGTATTTTCCAATTCTGCTCGACTAGAAACAACGGAATATTTTTCCAACGGAGCTGAGAATGTTTAATAGGAAAACACTACCAGTTATTTAGTGTAGAGGAATCGGAATCGGCACTAGCGTTGTCCAGCATTCATTCAGCAGAAATGAGCATGCCAGATGAAATTAATTGCTGACGTAATATTTAATACATGGAAGTGGCCCACAGAAGTCAATTACGGAGAACTATTGAGGAATAACGGAAAATAACTTTGTTTAGTTTACCCAATAAGCAACTGTTAACCAATGTGGTTTTTCCCTTTCTTTGTCGTATTTTCCGCGAATGCAAAGCTGATGTATTTATAGACAACTAGAAAGCCCTACGCAATGAAATTCACTGAAATTCACTGTACAACTTTGGCATTTTCTTCAACAACAAAAAGAGCTGTGATTTTGGAGCGAACATTTTGACAGCTCGGTCTCTCGTGTTTGTATGGCACATGCATGGTTGTGTGAGTTAACAGATTGATTTGGTTTTTTGATTGCAAATCTTCAGCAAGCACCATTCCAGACAAAGGGTGGGGACATGTGAACGGATAATCTCCCTTACATGCACCACAATGCACATGCCTGCAGTTTAAACGAGTGTCCCAGCCAAAAATGAATGGATGTTGGGACGACTTTGTCAGTACCCCATGGAGTCAAAGTAAAAGGCCGAAGGCACTCGGTTCGAACCTGTTCTATAAGCTTATCCTACTTTGTTTCTAATCTGAAAAATGGACTAATTTAACCAGATGAAGGTCGGTCCAGTTTCATGAAAGTTGAAGTTTACTTTCACTTAACAAACAGCAGCTGAGAAGAGCAAGATTGAAGGGTACTGGCAAATACTATAGGCAGCCAAAATGTTGAGGGACATGATGAAAGCAAACTTTTCTTGAGATATTTCTGATTTTCCATAATGTTTATCTGCTCGCCAAGTGCCTGAAACACGCTGGCACTAGTCAATTAACATTCCTGGAGAATCATCATGTGAAGCGACGGAAATAAAACTCTGTGGAATTTGGCCAAGTGAATCACGAAATTGCAGAAAGTTTTCACAGAAAGTGAGTCTGATGTATGATAAAAATAATCGCTCACATTTATTGCCCATTTGTTTTCTGACCAGATAATATTTGGGAATGCGCTATCAATACACTCATTACGAAATCACGAAAGACACGTAAAACTGGAAATTTTGAGCATAAAACCTGTTTTATCGTTTAGAACTGGTTGACCTAATGTTGGCAGTTTATGATCACTTCATTGATCTATTTATTTTATGCGTTCAATAATTCGCTAATTTTAGACAGAACTGGAGATGACAAAAAACGCTCACTTTGTCAAGGGCATCTTCAAAGCTCGTCGAAGCAGCTCTTTGGATATTTGATTGGCAATTTCGTGTCACACACTCGGCTGCCTCTGTAGTCAACGGTACGGAACCATTCAGGAGGGGGAAATCTTTCGACTGCGATTCATGCTCCTCTAGTAATTGTACGGGACTATTTGGATTCCTTATAAAGTTCATTTTGGGGTGAGTTGTAAGTGTTGACGGATGTGTTATACTCTTTGGATCGTCCCCATTGGTCGATTGGGTTTCAGCTGTACAGCTGACCTGGTTAATGTAACTGGTGGAATAGACATTTACCAGCAAACGATCCTTGACCTGAACAAAAACGTGAGAAAATGAAGATTGCCATATTAAAGAAACAGATTTAATTTGAAAAAAGTGTATGATTTCTACAAAGAATTTATTAGCGGTTGCCCAAAGTCTCTTTTGACAGCTGTTCGTGTTTCGTATAGTTGATGGAAGGCTGGGCGGAAAGTTTCGAGTTATATTGTAAATATTACACTGAAATTGTATGTGCGTATAACGAAACGCATTCATTAATGACAAAAAACACGCGAGTAGACCGCATTTCACCGTATCCTTACTGGTAATAGGGGAAATAATTACAGCACACACGAGGTTCGTTATGTCATGAAAAAAAGAAATAAAGGATACAGAACCACCACAAATATTGCCAGGATATTTGCATAGAGTACCTTCGGATTTCTCGAAGTTATTCTTCATACAGAAGAACGCATTTCACAACCTGCGCATCGACACGCCAGTCGGCCATCATGTTCGATATTATATGCAGTGCAAGCATTTTTTCCAGATTTGTGATCCACTCCCAGTGCCCACCAAAATAACTTCGAATTTAAGAAATACTGGCCAGTAGTTCAAGAAAGCTCCACTAAGCGAAATATTACTTACTATATTGAAAAATTATCAGAAAAATTTGATCATCTTTGAACATGTGTTCTTTATATCCAACTTCATTGGAAAGAATAACGTTGCATTATGGTGGTCGAGGAAGGAATAATTTAATAAACTTCCAAACAGTTGTTATTAGGCTTCCCGGTGTAGTGAGCATGCGCCTGTTGCCCAGAATAAAACCAGTTTGGATGAAATACTAATGCGGCCTCTGTCAAGGTGGATCTTTCAAGTATTTTCCCTATCACCTTGTGCACCCAACTTGCTGTCCAGTTAGTAATCTCAAAGGAAATTTATATTGACTAGTTACCTTTTTAGGCTGACCTAGTTCATTTTTTTCGAACTATATGAGTAAAATAACACACCAACCGATACAAAGGGTAAATAAATGCTAGTCAGTCCAACACTGAAAACCAAAACCGGAGGAACCATCCCTGAGTCCTCGTGCTACATCTTACGGATACAGGACAACAAGTGGTGCGCAAGTTGCTTTTGATTGCATTGTAATCACTTGACATCTTCAGTTGGCGGCATCGGAGGCTTTGTAGAAAGGGATATAAACTAGCCAACACAGCATGAAGCCTACTGTGACACTCATCAGAACTCAGAAGTAGACAATCACAGCGAGATTTCACTGCTTGGTGTTATTTTCTTTACCGTGAACTGCAGCAAAACCCATTTTTTTGTTGAACCATACAACATTACCTTTCTGATAAGCAAATGACATTATTCATTTGCAGCGTGTTATTCGCAAACATGCTTTCTAATCATTTTTATGTAAGTTCGTTAACCGTGAAACACATCTGCAGTACACGAAATTGTTTACTGTCATCTTTTTCGTCAAAACATGAGTGGCAGAAGAGTTGTACTGTAACGAAGTGATTCATTTTACTGTATCAACTTTCAATGCAGCTCCTAAAATATTTGAACGCACTGTTCAGCTGTTTTGTTTATTCTCACTGGACCGTGGTTGTAGAACAGTGAGTGAAATGAAACGTCCAGGAGTGGAGTAGCCGCGAGCAAAAAATATTTATCGTTATCTTACTTCAAAATAATCAATGTTGTATAAAAAGTCATGAAGCTCTTGACTCTTTTGTTTGTTTGAACTCATCTAAACAATGGTAACGGTGATTTGTGTAGCTTTGTCACAGGCAAGCACATTGACACATGCCACGTTGCCACACCTTTTAGAGTACTCTACTCCTGAACACCTCGTAATATGATTTTCATCTCACCAAACAAGATCGCCGCAGGAAAGTCTACCAGTGGTATGAAAAACGCAGTAGTTGAAAAACCTACAGCAGGTGAGAAAAATACGCGTACACAGCTTGCCGGGGACTATCTTGCTGTTGTTCAGTTTACGGGGACAAAGCACAAATTAACGAATTAAAACGATACTCACCGTAGAATGGACGTTATTCGAGGGTACCTACTTTGAAACTATGCATAAAAATAACATGGTCCTGCAACTCATCTGCTTCGCCGTCGATCTGTCAAATAAGCTGAAGGTCACGTTCTGTCGAAAGCAAATTGACGGTGACTTTTGCACCCACCTTTCGCATCCGATGGAACTGTAGTTGACATTCCATTGGCATCTTTAGAAAGCTTCGTACACCCCAAAATAATGTCGAACAACAGATGGACAGACAGAAACATACAGAAATCTCAAAGTTACATTTGCCTTTCAGTTAGCTGATCTATTTGCCAACTTTCTCCTATTTACTACCAGTTTTATAGAAGAAAAACGTAGTACAAAATAAGAACATAACGGCAAAAGAGTACTTGCGCTCTACAGCAACTTTTTCAGGTAGTTGCAGGTACGAATGCGCGTATAATACTGGAACAAACGGATATCTGCACTTCCCTTCGGAAGCGAATCCCTAATACAGTAGCTGATCTCATGAATTATTCGACTATCGAGTTATCTATTAGGCAGGAAATTCTTACACTATGAAGGTATATTTTCCACGAATATACAGAGATCAGAATATGGTGAACGAGTCGAAGAGGGACCAAATTATTAATCAGATAACCGGTTATTATTTGTCATTTATTATCTGTTTTGCTCCCATCACGCATTTGAAAACACATTTAAAACACGCACTATGTAGCGCAGGTTGAAGTTTAGACACATTCATAGGTTTTGGAGAGAGAGAGCGAAACGAGAGGCCAGTTCCAGTGCCTTGTTTCAGCCGATGAAAGGAGGCAAGTGAAAACTGTCCAGTGACACAGAAATTATATAGTACAATCCTTTCTACTAGTATGTTTCTGTTTGATTTCGCCATGCCATAAGACCTCACCTTCCCATATGGTTTAAAGGTTCGAAGTCGTATTTATTTGGACTTATTAAAGTGAAAGTTTGAGGATGTTTTGCCAACCAACCAAACTGTAGTCTACAGGATCACTAGTTACAGCCTAATTAAATCCTAAAAAGTAGAATTTCCAATACAGGTTATGGTTCTCGAGAAGAAAAAGACAGACAAACAAAGAATCCTACACAATGAGATTGTGCTTTCATTATTATTTGCTTTGCTAGTATGCCCCTGCCTTTTGACTAATCCTGCAGCACGATGTCTATTTTCTGGGTTAATGCATGTGCTGCGAGCATTAGGTAGATCTGTGCGAGCTTGAAATTAGTTTGCTATGTCAGTGATGGAGAGCAGAACAAATCAAATCACTTGTACAACAGCGTTGTTTAGACACAGATAGACTACCTTCGTTCTTGCCAAGACGATATTCTAACTGACACTGACACTTTCATCGAGTACAAACCTATTTTCGCTGCACTATCATGTTTAGAACTGAGGTAAAAGAGAACAGGTCAAAATTTCGATCTGAACGATGAAAATTAGTACCAGACTGTTAGATTTTCAGTGCATCTGTCGCTCTACTTTGATTGTTTGTCATACCTACTCCGCAGCCTCTGAAACAAGGTCAGAAATTTCCTAAGTTTTCCAGGGCTTCAGTGCGACTCCCTTAGGACAAGCAAGACTTAGTAGGCCAGCCCGACCTCATCGGACAACGCATAGTATATTCACCGTCATTTACCCCGACAGTAGGTTTGAAAATGGTAATAAAGTTGGGTATGAACTTCCAGTTAAAATCTGTAAAGACGATTCCTGTTTTTACTGACGATTGCAGTGCCGACACTCTTAGACTAATTATTATATTGATTTTTGCCACAAATACTCTCCCGTATTTTGGTATCTGTTTTACTTAACCCGTTTCTCGGATTCAATCTTGTTCCTTCTTTTCAGCAAGAAGTTAAAGGGAAGATAATTATGCAACTCGAACCCTATTGCATTTTCTCGACACATTCGGGCACCTTAGAAAATATCCAAGGCTTTTAGCAAAACTACAAGAAAATAAATCCAGTGCCATTGGTGGTCGAGTGGCTTAGAGCGTTTGATTACGAACTCGAAGGTTGGAGGTTCGAATCTCCGCCACTACCGGTTACTGGTGATAGACAGTAAACCACACTGTCATCCGGCTTGTTACCACCCCTGATCCACTGGGACATTACGGGATACTCCACTCCACTTCTGAGGATCTGGTAACAGGTTGTCCGTAATGATGTAATGGGTCTTAGTGGATACGGGGTACACCCTTTCATTGCACTCATGCTCAAGCACGTAATGAGAAAAATTAGAAAAATGATACTGTTGTCAGAAAGTCATCATAATGGAAAATACTATGATAGAACAAATGATCAAGTTGGGTGCAGCTTTCAGTGCTTTTAGAAGAGGACTTACTGTTTTGCTTTTAAAGTGACCCAGTGCCAAAATAAACTGAACTATTGGAGCCTGGTCACGTCCCTGATCGGAACCCTGTCGCCCAGCGGTAACCAGATCAACAGCAACCCAGTACTCAACCAGCTCGGGTTTCCAAATGTGAGTTTCATTTTGTCGGTACGGCTCATCGTTATCAAGACAAACTCGTTTCGCACACTCAGAATCTGAACTGGTAGTAGGCTGCTCGTTTGATGGATCGGTAGAACTCGTCTCCTCCGAAGGACTATCGGTGAAACGGCGTTTTTTTGATCCTGGTTGGTTCACTCGACTTTGTAGGCCAATCGAGACTTGGTCACTGGCATCCAAAATGGCCTGTCTTGTTTGGTGTTTTAATAGAGTTTCCGTATTACAGGTAGTATCTGACAAATGGTCGTTCATTTTGTCTGCATTTGTATGTCTGAAGAAAGACAGAAAACAACAATTACAAATTGAAAATGAGGATGCAATTTATGATCACTGGCAACTCTACTTTGCCTACTGCGTTGTATCTTAGTTTTGTAGGAATCTTCATGGGATTGCAACATGGTTCCCACCAGTACACGTCAGAAGGAAGTCTTGTCAAACCAAATTATCTACTGGCTTAAGGATATAACCCTTTAAAAATGATTCAATGAAAGAAAAAAGAAAGAACCGCCAACTCAAGTGAACCAGTGACAACCGCGTTGTTGATATTCGACTGTATTTTTGTTGGTGATCAGTATGAACCGAGGGACTGGTTCAGTTTGTACTGTGCGGGAGCGGTCGAGATGCGTCAGTGTGTAGATCCTTGTATTGTCGATGGTTTTCCTTAGCCCCCAACAGCTGGAGTAGTACATGTTATCCCTAAAAGGCAGAATTTTCTACAGTGGTATCACACTCTTCAGACATAATTTAGCTCTCACTGTTTCATAAACTCCACTCTGGGCACACTATTTTTCAACCATGGCCCAAAACGTCATTGAAATGCACTGCATTGGTACATCTAGCAACACTCTCGGACAGTCTTTTTCATAATGATATGGCCCATTTTGGAAAGAACCAGGTCATCAGCTACAGTTTTCTATGTTTCCTTTGCAGAATAGGGCTATGCCTCCGGTGCCGTAAAGTGGGGTAGATGCAAACAAATTGATGCGAAACGGACTTTTATTAATCTTGGCAGTATCGATGAAGTCTGCTTGGCATCGCCAGTATAATAAAGAAAAAGCTAAACGTCTCGGGGGCACTGAGTTATTCTTCCCTTTTTCAGACAACAATTCTAGTTGCAAGATGCTGTGCTCTCTCCAGGTATGCTGTCTCTCCGATTGTGAGGGACTCATACCTGTGCGCAATATTGCAGAAGAGGCAACAGAATCTCCTTGTACCCCGTCGCTTTCCTCCGTGTAACATTTGTGCACATCATCATTGAATATCCCCCTTCTTGCCTTATTCGCTGTCACTTGGTATAGATGAAAAAGCCCAAGGTTAATCATGCAATAAAATCACGATCGTGGACCAGTGGTATATATCAAAACGACGTATTCCTCATCGGAAGTTAGCACATATTAAGATTAGACGGAAGACGGTGTCGGGCCGAATATCTACGTATTGTACCGAAATTATGTGCTAAATCACCTCCCGAGATGTTCAAATTATCGATGATGGATATTGAAGAACCAGGTTTTGTGTAGGTCTTTCAGATCCATGTCTTTTTTGCTTGTATTGGATTTCCTCCCATTCTATGTGGACCGATAATTTATCCAGCTTTGGTAAATTCAAGAAATGAAAAGTCATTCTTATATGCACAAGAACAAAGTAAATATAAAATAGAAATCGGTGATTTTTCACTGGCATGTGAGGTGAACTTCACTCAGAATAGTGAAACAACGCGAACACAAAGGCTGATAGTGTTCGAATACTGTATACGGAACTTCACCTTCTATCGGACTACGAGAAAGGCTAGCAAATCCATTTACTGAACGTGATTTTGTCCTGTAGTGAGTGCTTCATTTATGACTGCATTATTTGGTTTCCTCAACACCCACGGTCAACCAGATGCATTAAGTCGAGTTAATGACCATACTGTGAACAGGAGCAATGTGAGATTCACAAACATGTATCCCTACCACATTCTCGAACAATGTAGCGTAAACTGAATAGGCAAGCAGATGGTAATTTGATGTTTCCAAGGGCCTCGGTGTTCCACGGATGAAACGTAATAAATTCATCATAAACGCAAAAAGTCGGATTGTTTATTGACACCCGTCTATCAGATTGGAAGTGTTACTACAAACAGCATCATTCGATTCAGCTCTACTTCCGATTTAATCTTTTTATCAACCACCAGATGAGTATGGGAATCTGTTATAGGAAAAGAAAACTGGGTTAGAATAGAAGTTACATTTTTAAAACCTGTCTTGATTTAAACTGCCAGATTCTTTTTGCTTATTATGCAGCTATTATAAGCTTTTATTAGGAACAAAGAAGCCATCCATACCAAGTATCCTAAAAGGAAGCTGACCAGTGGAGACAATATTTAATTCCGAGAACCCTACGGTCCGTGGTTGCCTGTGTTCCAACTCCTTCTGAGGGAATGAGATACAATCCAGTTCGGCTCTCTCAGCCACTGACCATGCAAATTAGTTCTCTGGTTCCGACTGCTGTCTCCCAGCATCATTTATTCGAGAGCAAAACATATAGAAGCGTGAGGATCAAAAAATGGAGATACTTCGGACTGAAAATCAAGGAGACGAACAGAGTTCGACACTGACCGCAGCATATAGCCATAGCACATCGATTACAAGTGAGTAAAGCATAACAGTCACTTTCAACTAATAATTTCAAACACACCGTGGGGCACACGTGAGATGTCCAAAAATTATTAGCCTATTTAGATTGAGTGCTTACTCCAGAGACTGATCACCGATTCCCGACATTCTACGCCCAACCTCAGCGTAGATGCACAATGTTACGAAAATATTAAAATCCAGGCATCAACATTCTTTGCCTATCATCCATCTCTAACGGTTATGCCTCTGAGGTGTAAATGAGGACGGACCTATCTTCTGCTTTACACACTAACACTTGGTGGACAAACGGTACACAGGTGGTTCAAAATGGCAAAAACCAAACGCTTTTTCTGTAAGCCCGTCGAAACTTCATCCTATATCCGACCACCTAGTGGTATTTAACTACCCAAGAAATAAAACTTACCTTCTTCAACTAAGGCTTTCCGTGTCAGGACAAACTTTGAGGTCGGGTCATTGAAGTCTCGCGGGAGATTGTACCCCGTTCTTTAGGCTTTTTATGAAAACTTACCTGGATCATCACTCAGAAGCATAACATCGTTCCTGTATTCAAAATTAGACAGTTCATTTACTGAACAATGTCACTGCCCATATTTCCACACAAGGATAACGCTATCTCCCAGTCACTTCGGTTACGAAGTTAGGAAAACAAACTGATAGAGTACAATCCTTACGAGCACTGCTTCTTGTGGTGAGCTCGGCTAAAATATTGACGCAGGCACGAAAAAGGAAAATTATTTCATTCAATGCGCCATTAAGTGGGAGGTAGCACCAGAGAACTGTGCGATAGACTGAATCGAAAGCAGCTCTTTGATCAAAGGGGAAAAAGGGTGGCCTATGAAATTGGTTCTTATGTTCTAAAACACGTTTAAAGTTGAGTATGCTATCAACACTCTATCGACGGGATCCGCCATCGATTTATTTTCATGCTTGTATCTGTCCAAAGCACAGTAGTTCATTCTGCGTGCAACCTCTTAATAGCAACAACCTCTTTACCAGAAACACTTTTACTGTGCAAGAAAAGTTTCACCACAAGGAACCTCTCTTAAAGCAATGAACCCCCCATAACCGAGATAGAAAAACTCCCATCGGTTGTTCACCCAGAAGAAGGAACATTCTCAGGTCAAATATATTTGAGAATTTATTTTTCAGGACAAAATTGGTTATGTAATTTTTTCTAGGGATTTATATGAGATTTCTGGTTTGTTGCTACTCTTGACTATTGAGCCATTACCTGGTCCTCCACTCCAGATCGCAGGGTCTGGTTTCCGGTCAACCCTAATGGGGCACTGAGTCTTTAAGGCTACCTCTTTCAAGTGTAACGACGTAATAACATGAGTTCTAATCCTGATGACCTAGCCTTATGCGGGCCAACCACGAATAACTTTAAAGACTTTAACTGATTTGGAATGCCAGGGTAATAGTCTCACCCTAATACTTCGACGCTGTTCGCTTGTGGATACTGATAAGATGAACAGTAATCCTGATGCCACTAAGTCGTTTTGTAGCAAATTTTGGTGGAATTTGAGATGATGAATAGCAACGTCCCGCGTTTTGCTCACGAATCGTACCCGGTTTTGTTAGGCTTTTCAAGCCGACACAAATCCTTCTGGTTAAGTTAACTTTGTACATTGGCTTAAAAGTGCCTATTTTTAGCACAGTCTGCATTAAAAAAGATACTACTTGTGGCTACTTCTAATTAAACACCTCTCTCCCTGAGTGCAACTCCTATCAGCGAGAAACAATTTAGCGGTCCCGGCTAGTGTTTCTTGTTGTGGGGGAGGGAATACTGAACTAGATATCCGGCATTAATTACCAAGCTAATCCATGTAGTTTTCACAATAGGACCTGTCATCTTTTGGTGTAGGTAGTATGGTATTTTACCTGGATGACAGGATAAAATTTCGCAGGAAGAACACGGCCAGTTTCTTGGCTGTTATCTTTCACCAGGTATGCTTACCTGGTGCTCTACTGCCCAATGATCCCTATACTTTCGAAGAACCACCTTGTGATTCTAAAACTGGAATGTTTTTCCATGTACAAACCAGTCCATTCAAATGAGACTTAAGTAATAAATTTATCACCTATCTTGTGAATCGGCACAATTAACTATTCACACCATTTTCAGGAAATCAATTTTTCTGAAATTAACCAAGGGAGTTTCGTCAACTCCAAAAACCAGAGCTTCACCTGAATCCTTGAGAAACGATGGACTCAGACCATCCCATCCGGCAGGTTTATACCGTTTTATATAGGCTATCTCTCGGATAACCTCCATTCGTAACGGAGGAAGGTTGCTCACTTGCATTGTTCTTTTTGTAGGTATTATCCGTACTTTCTTTGGGAGAGTGGGCCCAATGAACAACTCCTAACTATGCTGCACCCATCACTCCGGAGGACATTCCTAAGTGTGAATCAGTGAGCCGTCAGATTCCTTGATTACTTGGCCCACACCTGGTTCCCGTGGACAAGTATTTATAATCACACAGTAGAAACTGGGACTACTTCCAATAGTAGCAGCATTTTCCATTTCTGTACATTTCGCAGTCCACCACTACTCGCTAGATTATCTGCAACGCGGAGTCAGCTGATTTCCCAGGATGTGTACAACTCATTGAATGTGGCATCCGGTGAG